TTTGAAATCTCCTGGTTGAGGAATGAGAAGCCATTCCTCTGAAAAATGTGGCTGGACATGTGACCAAACTGACTGGCATGAGAAGCTGACCTGTTATTGCTCCGTACGAATCTGTGTAATGATCTTTTGTTCATGATTACTGTGGGATAATAAAATGCTCTAACCTGGCAAGCCATGCTATGTATTTAAATATATAGTCTAGCCACGACCCATGGAGCTCAGTAGCAGGGGAGGAATCTACAGTTGTCTTTGCACACAGCTGGACAGCGCTAGGACCAATCAGAGCAATGAACAACATGATGTATTCATTGCTTTGGAAATCAGTCAATGGTGCAGTCTCATACATCATTAAGGAAAAAGCAAATACGTACTTTATTTAAATAAAGTCTGCTGAGGCTGCAATGGAGCGTGGCCACTCATTTGACCCACAGAGCTAAAGCTTTGGCTACTGCTAGGGTGTGAGGAGATTTCTAGGCTCAGGAAACTCGAAATGAGTAGAAGTTTAGCACCAATTCATGTGGAACTACCAACAGCTGTGTGGTTCAGGCCATGGATGCACGATGCTCAGAAGCTGTTGAACAAGAATAAAAAAAAACCACCAGTTGGTACTAAAGTAAAGAAACGATAAGCTGAAATAGTTTCAAACCTTTTTTGATAAGTTTAGATTTTTTTCTAAACTGCGGATTTTCCATTTATTTTGGTAGGGTATTTTTTTCTGATAAACTTTTTGTTTTCATTAATCCTAAGTCATAAAGACACATGTTGGCAACTGAGCAAGCTGTCCAGTGTCCGATGTCCTAACGATGGCTGTCAGATGATGCATTTAAACTACCAGCGGGATCCTGCAGTATTTGTGTTACCAGATGTTCCTTCATAATCTGTTTCAGTTAGACTTGATGCTTTTTTCTTTTTCATATTCTGATTATGCATCAGTTCTAGTTTTAATTCAAGTAAATGGGATATTTTGCACATTTTGTATATTTTTAAATCATTTTATTAGCCAGTATGAGCTAAAGTAACCCTTTATAGGGTTAATGAATTGCTACTTAGACCCCTACCGACACCTGCGGTCAGAATACCACACTTGCAACTTCAGAGTTGGCAGACTGCTCCCTGCTGGTGGAGGGAGCTGTGGAGTGGAGCTGACATGGCAGAGCTGTAGGCTGCTTCCAGCACATTTCCTGCACATGTTTTAGATCGTGAACACAGCTGATTTGTTAGATTTAGTGATGAACTGCTTCTCTAGAAACTGAAGAAAGCTGAGGAGACATTTCAGGTGTTGATTAAGATGTTTAAAAGACGAACACACCGCGAGGAGATAAATTTCATTTTCGGTTTAACCACAGTGAATTAATAAAGGACACTAGGGGGTGCTAAAAGCAAGCAAAACTGCCAAGTATCCCTTTAATGGATGTTACCAGATGCGTCTGTGTAGTAGTAGTTGTAGTTGCATTGATACATGAAGTAAATCCTAATTACTTTGTGAGCACCATTGGCTGTATGGGTCTTGTAATATGAAAGGGCTAGAACGTTCCCCTCTTTTGTTTCAAATGACAGGTTCTGGTCAGATTGTTCCTCAGCTGAACTCCAAACCCAGTGGCTGTGAAGTCACACTCATCTTTAAAAATGTGGTACCATGAGTTCCAGCAGGAAAAGCAATATGAATTGATAGGTTCCTAAAATGTAGAAATTAAAGGGGACATATTTAATAAAACTCATTTGCACACTCGAAACATGAAAAAAATCTGTCCATCCATTTTTTTGTCAGTGGTTGGTTTTAGGAATTATGAGCCTGAAACAAGCCGTTTAAAAACGTCACCATTTGTGATGTCATAAACGGGGACGGGACGTGGGGGCTGTGGCCAGCCCCAGCTTGTTTTCTTAAAGTGACAGAGCCCTGAAACAGCTCATTCTGGAAGTTCTGAAACTGCTCTATGTGAGAGAGATTATGTGCAAATGATCTCATAATGTTTTCCATTGGCCATAGAACTTAAAAAAAGTTGTGATATGTTCCCTTTGAAGGTTTCTTGACACTAAATCTCTAAATCACAATTAGAAAACATGTGCTTTTTCCGTTTTAAAGTAAGACATTCAGTCCTGTTCATCACACAGTCATTTACCATACCATACCATACCATACCATACCATACCATACCATACCATACCATACCATACCCTACCAACGTTATTTATAAATGTAGCGTTGTTAATCTACATAACTAGAATTTAAGCTGTTGCTATTCAGCTTTGTTAAATTCTGAGAAAGATCAAACGAATTGGCAATGACACTTTATATATATATATATATATATGTATATATATATATATATATATATATATATATATATATATATATATATATATATAATTGATAGAAGTTCACACACCAACTGGCTTGGTCTGTATTTAATCAAAAGATTAATATATAATTTAAGAGATTTAAATTAATAGCAAAAGTGCTTTTATTAATTCAGAAGATCTAAAGAGGTCTTTGCTCGTTCAGTGATCAATATACACCACTCTGTGTTTCATTTCAAAGAAGTGTCAGGTTTAAAAAGTTAAGAATTTATAACTAACAATTTAAGGATGACAATTTCAAAGACAATTCATAACTGACAATTTATAAAAGCTTTGGTATAAAAACTTGGTATTAAAGCAATCTGTGTCTGGATGAAACTAAAAATGAAGTGTGTGTGTTTGAATGTGTGAATGTAGGTGCTCAGAAGGTTTTTATCTTAGAGAGAGAAAAACGTGTTCTGGGTGGAAGAATTTGGTTTGCACTTAAGCTAAATCATTTCTTAATAAAACAGGCATTCCAGACGCAATCTTGTGTTCTACCTCACCGTTCAGACGACCCTCTGTTCAGATCCGGAGGTCAAGGGAGGACGTTGATCAGCCTCTGGGTACCCAGTCCGGTAGGGTAGACCAGTGGTACCGACTCTCTGGTCCTAGAGTTGCTGCAGGCACACAGGTGGATGGTTCGCATCTTAAAATTAACTCTGAAGAAGTTTTGCATCAGCTTTGCTGCAGATGGCGTTTCTGTTGAAGCAATTCTATCAGCGTGACAGAAAAACTTTAGTAGAGGTTTCGAATGGCCGACTCGATCCTCTGGACTCTCGTTGCCACGGAGAGAATTTTGGTGAGCTCAAGAAATGAACTTGAACTGAGGAGTTTGATTTTAAGAGACAGCCGGTAATCTTATTGTAACGAATTAGATTTTGACATGTAGATTTAACATACATCAGAACACGCCCTCTCAGAGACAGAAAGTTCTGGGTTGTCATGGACATGTGAGTGCAGTTAACCTTAACCTGATTACTGTGTCCTGAATGGTGTGTATAAGTGCACATGATCTTCTTGTCACTGTTAAACATTACTGATTATCATAAATAATAATTATTAACCAAAGAATAATAATTCAATTCAGTAATTAAATACATTTATAATGAACCTTGATGATTATTTAAGAACATTGTAATAGAGAGTAAAAAGAGTTTATTAAAAATGAGTCTTTTAAATCTTGAAGTGTCCTTCGTCTTGCGGTTGGAACAGCAGTCAGATAAAGGCAGTCAGATTAAAGAGGTGGTAGACCGTCTTTCAGTCTCCTGTGATGGATAATCTGTAGATAGAAGTGCAGCCAGGACAGCTTGACCCAGCGGAGGAAGTGTGACCTTTGGGTCACAAACGAGGCCATTCATGTCACTACATAAAGCACATTTAAAAAAGGCATGGCAGCCGACCAAAGTGCTGTACAGAATAAAAAGTAAAAACACAATATTAAAACAAGACATGGTCAACAATAAAATACACAACAAAGCAGATAATCACAGTCAATAAAAAGACACATAGTAAAATGATAAAAGTCAGGGATTTAAAAATGCCTGGTCGTAAAAGTGAGCCTTAAGTAGTGACTTGAAACGGAGGAGGGATGGTGCCAGCCTCACTGAAAGAGAAAGAGCATTCCAGAGTGTTGGAGCAGCATAGACAAAAGCACGCTGCCCCCACGTTTTGTATTTCATTGTTGGAACGTGAAGCAGCAGGCAATCAGCAGATCTCAACGCCCGGTTTGGCGCATAACGAGTCACAAGATCAGACCGGTAATTCGGAGCCAGACCATTCAGGGCTTTAAAAACAAAAATCAGGATTTTAAACTTGTCTCTGAAGTTTATGGGTAGTCAGTGGAGCTGCTCCAGTACAGGTGTGATGTGGTCTCTTCTAGGGGTGTTTGTTAAAAACCTGGCTGCCGCGTTCTGTACGACCTGAAGCTTCTTAAGAGCGGAGGCAGGTAAACCAATTAAAATGGAATTTGCGTAATCAAGTCAGATCATAAAAGCATGAATTACAGATTCCAGGTGCGCTCGTTTCAGGATCGGTTTTAAGCGAACTAGTCTGCGCGGCTAGTAAAAACACGATCTGACCGCTGCGTTAATCTGAGGGCCCATGGAAAAGTGGGTATCCAGTTTCACCCCCAGGTTGGTAACACACTTTTTGAGGCCATATGGGAAAGTGTCCAAATCAGAAGATGAGTGTGTGGTTTGTCAGGGGTCATGAGGAGTGCCTCAGACTTAGAATCATTCAGCTTCAGGAAATTGTTGGCAAGCCAAACCCTCACATCAGCCAAACATTGGTCCAGAAGAGAGAGGGAGCCTGGTTTGTTCAAAGCCAGGTAGATCTGGCAATCATCTGCATAGATATGATTGCCCAGGCCGTATTTCCTCAGGATGAAACCCAGGGGGAGGATGTAAATTGAAATCAGGAGAGTCCCAAACACAGATCCCTGCGGGACTCCCCACGGAAGTGGAAGGAATGTAGAGGAACAATTACCCAACTGAACATTGAAAACTCTGTTTGACAGGTATGAGCAAAACCACAGAAGTGAGGTACCCCTAAGCCCTACCCATGACTCAAGTCTATCCAGCAAAATATCGTGGTCAACGGTATCAAATGCTGCAGAAAGATCTAATAGAATGAGTAAAACAGGTTTTCCTGTTTCGTTTCAGGGACATAGCCCCGAGTCTTTGACAATGAAGTTCAACTTGTTCAGAAAGCCCCAGGCACTCGCAGCGGCCGAGCCCACCAGTGTCACCACCGTGACCATGGCTCCCACCTCACCTTCGATGTCCACCTCTGCACCTGGCACGTCCGGCACCAACAACACAGAGATCAGCAAGAATGACATGTTTGAGGAGATCAAAAGCAAATTCCTGAATGAAATTGATAAGATCCCGCGTAAGTAACTTGGAAGATAAAGACCCCAAATGTTGTGAGATATTCCTGATGGTAATATTTATACTTTTGAATTTGACAGTTCCTCCTTGGGCTTTGATTGCCATCGCGGTGGTGGCTGCTCTGCTCGTCCTCACTTGCTGCTTCTGCATAATCAAAAAATGCTGCTGCAAGAAGAAGAAGAACAAAAAAGGCAAGAAGGGGAAAGATGGCTTCAACATGAAGAACATGGAGGGTGGTGAGGTATGACAGTGTGTGCCTCCTAACTCGTGGCTGCATAACTCTGGTTTGTTGTTTCACAGAAAACCTCCTAATAACATTTGTGTAACGTTTTTGCTCAGATTCCCTGACTTTGGCTGAGTCTGATCTTTCATCATGAGTTCCTTTAGCCCAGGCTAGAGGACACAAGGAGATCTCTTTCTCTCCATTTGGTGTTGTTGGGTTCATTTAAACGTCTGATGTTTTCCATTGTGTGATGAAAAATGACACGCTGTTATGAGGTGGCAAGGAAAAATGAGTAGCTTTTACTTTTAGTCTAAAAACAGAAGATGGGAAACCTGCAGGATCTTTTGAGAACAGAGTAAACAAATGGTGGAGCCACAAATAAAGGGCCATTTGGGGACTAATTGGCTCACCAGCCTGTGGTTGGTATCCATCTTTGCTGAATTGTGTCATTTCTCCTTACATCTGTTGATCGCATCTCTTTCTGTGTTTGGTGACCTGTGAGTTGAACCTCTTCCTCTCTCTGATCTCCTCCTTTTCTCCCTGCTTTGTGTTCGTCTTGTGTGTGCCTCATGTTTCTTGACTGTGGTGGACTCCTGCTCTACGGTAGGTGGATAGATCACGTCTGTTCCTCTCAGCCCCCTCAAGGGCGGAGAGGGGGTGATTCATGGAATGAGAACTCCTGGCTTTCTTTTATTATTGTTTCGTCCACTTTTGTTGAGTTTGTTATGGTAGCTTGCAAACACAGGGGGAAGCGATGACATCCTCCATAAACCCAGGAGAGGAGAGCCTAACCATCTAACACAATGTAGCCACACCAATATGGAAAGAATATTGGATTACAAGATGAAATGCAACTCCTTGTTTAACACTCTTAATCTCTGCATGTGATGGAGGGCATGGTTGGTTGTTTGGACGATATGGATGATGATAAAAACTGCATGATAAGCTAAACTTATCAAACACTTCCTGTTTGGTGTCCAATCCTTCCCTTCAGTGGTGCTTAATCTAGCATGTTTTAATGTTTTTCTGCTCTAACACACATGCTGAGGTCTTCGGGGTTGAACACACTTGTGCAGAAAATAAGGGCATGCAGAAAAGATCAATTCAAGCATTGAATCAAGTGTTTCAGTAGAGAAACATCTAAAACATGCAAGACTGAGCTCCTGGAGAACCAGGATAGGACACCTCTGCTTTGGACTGTAATTTTCAACAAGTAGGATGTGGAGACGCTAAAAATATGCTACAAAGTCCTTATCACTTCGACAAAGACTTTTTAACCAGCAGGCTGTGTCTCTAAGTCACAAATCATTTAGGATAAAAGTGAAAACTGAAATTGTGTTCCTAACTTTGGATCTGTTGGTTTTTCATTTACTTTTAAGCATAAAGAAACAGATTATAGTTTACTCAGACTTAAAGCAGTTGTCCCAGTAAAACATTCTTATCTAGAAACCATGAAAACACATGCGCGCGCGCACACACACACACACACACACACACACACACACACACACACACACACACACACACACACACACACACACACACACACACACACATACACACACACACACACACACACAACATTGAAGTTGCTATTTAATAGTTTTTAAACAAGTGATTCAAACCAAAATGAAACATTTTTTAAGTAAATTGATGAAATTCAACTCATTTATTTCTCACGTCATTTACTTTATTCATTTCCATCTCTGTTGCAGCTCCACTGCTCCTCTCCCTATTGTTTTATAAAAGGGAGAGTGAATGCAGTGTGTCAAAGTTGATATATCTCTTAACCAACAGCAGAGGGAGCCACTGAGTCCAATACAGCAAATATTTGGCATGCCCATTTAATATAAAATAGTCAGACTGGGTCGTCAGACCAGATATGCATAAGTTGATAATTCCTTGTCAGAATTAACACATCAGCTTTCCATAATGCCATTAGTTCCCAATGCACAACCATAACCTAATATATGTCTTATACATATCTTCCTGTTAGATAGAATTTTTAATGAGCTAAACAAATATTTCTGAATCTGTAGTTTGATAATGTTTAATTTAATTGCAAATCTCAACAATAAGAAAAATCTAGACACACATTTTAAAGAAATAAACAATCAATTATCTCATTAAGGATTTTAACACTGAATTTATGTCTAATTCTAATCCGGTTTGGGCATCAGAGATCAAATTAATGAGTTTACAAACAATTTGAGATTTTCAAAACTCAACAAAACATAATTTTTGTACATTTTATATGTTGATTTCTCAAAACCAAGACAATACATTGCTCACATTTCTTATAAGTTTTATAAAATATTTGTGCGTGAGCAAAACCTTTAACAACAACTGAACTGTTTCTAAAACTGAATTTTTAACCAGAACAAATGGCTTTTCATAGAAATCTATGGTTTCCAGACATTTCAAAGGGAATATTTTACTTTGACAACTTAATTTGAATAAACATCTTGACTAAATTAACCATCACCGTATAATGGTTTATATTTGCTGTTGTGAGCCAGTTCCTTGAGATTTTCTGCAGGCAAAACTGAAAAATGGCAATATGGTGCAAAAGTCAATTTATGTCAGTAATTCAGTTTAGACTGAGAGACCATCTAAAGGCTCAGGAACCCTTTGCAGGTGTTCTGGATTCATGAGCTGATAAGAGTGTGACACTTTGAGGCTAGAATGTTGAACCTTTTCAACATACTAGTTGTCTGAGATTGTGAATGTGGGGTTGTAATAAGCTGTAAACCACAATCATCACAATTATAACAAGTACAGCCTTAAAATGTCTGGTTTGTATGGAATGAGTCCATCTTGGGCTGCACAGTGGTGCGGTGGCTAGTGCTGGTCCTGGGTTCAAATCCCAACGTGGGGTGGTTCTGCATGGAGTTTGCATGTTCTACCTGTGCATGCATGGGTTTTCTCAGGGTACTCTGGCTTGCTCCCACAGTCCAAAAACACGACTGTCAGGTTGTTTGATTTCTCTAAATGGTCCTTAGGTGTGAGTGTGCTTGGTTGTTTGTCCCATGTGTGTTTCTGTGTAACACTGCGATGGACTGGCAACCTGTCCAGGGTGGACCCCGCTTGCTTGCCCAGAGACCGCTGGAGATGGGCACCAGCCCCCCGCGACCCCCGTGGACAAGCGGGTATAGAAAATGGATGAATGGAGTCTATCTGATAAATTAGCTTCAACTTTAGGTAGATTTACTGGCATGAAAGAACGTTTGCACCATATTCTCATTATTCTAGTTTCATTTGTAGTCTGAAATGTATCTCCTTGTTGATTTGGTGACGTTAAACATTTAACCAGTTAACAACGAGACAATCTCTTTTACTTTCTGATTTCACTGAAGAGTTCTGGCCCCCATTTAGTAGAACTAGCATGCAATGACTGACTCTGGCTTCTACTGTTCATCTCAAGCATGTCAAAGGAATTGCCCTCTGATCCCAAAAGAAAAACAGTGACATGATGAGGGGTGTGTGAATGCTGAATTGGACCAATCTGAAAATTCTCCCCCTTTCTGAGTGTGTAAATCTTTAGTTTTGATCAGCAGGCCCTGTGCAGGTAAGGAGAAACCAAAACGAGTAAAATGTCCAGGAGTTGCAGTGTCTGTGGCATGCTGGTTGTTATGGGGAATCCTGTGCTGCAAATGGGACCCATGCAACCTGTAATTCAGTTTCTTTGTGACCTTTTCACCACAGAAAAACCAGGATGACGATGATGACGAAGGCGAAACCGGGATGACAGAAGAAGAGAAGGAGGAGGAAGAGGAGAAAGAACAAGAAAAACTGGGGAAGCTGCAATACTCCATCGATTACGACTTTGAGAACACCAAGGTTCTTAACAAATACGACTCTGACTCAAGTTCATGGATTTATTTTTTACATAATTAGTTTTCATCATATCCTAATAAATCATCTGTACTCAGCTCACCGTCGGGATCCTTCAAGCTGCAGACCTGATGTCGATGGACTCGGGTGGAACATCTGACCCCTATGTCAGAGTCCTGCTCCATCCTGATAAGAAGAAGAAGTTTGACACCAAAGTTCACAAGAAAACACTAAACCCTGTCTTCAATGAGACGTTTGTTTTTAAAGTAAGTTTGTGTGTCACTGCACACATTTTGGATGACAGCAAATGTTAGAACAAAAATAATAAAGGAGCAATACATAAGAACTCCACTGTGAAGTAATCACAAAACAGTCTTCATACAGTAAGTATAAATATATGTTAAATGCGATTGTTTGCCGCTTGGTCCTAGTCTCCCCCCTCCCCCCTCGCAAAACAAAGATCTACGTCCATGCCTTACACTCCGTAAGCAAGTTACTGCAAAGCTACTGCAGGACAAAATCCTGGAGCTGCTCCTGAAGCCATGCCATCTTTTTTGTTTTACTCTAATATCGGGTCAAACAGGCTAGGCTAACGTTGAGCTAATAATGCAGTAACTAAATGTGACCACATGAGGTCACCCTTACTTCATTCTTACATATTAAACCTTTCAGTGTCCTTCACAATCAAACGAAAGGAGATATAAAGTGGTCCTTCACTCGTTTTTAATACATTTTCAGTAGTCTCTAGTAGGAATGAATACCGTGTAAGTTGTTTTCTGGGAACACAAAGCTCCGGTGCACCTATTTCAGCAAAGAGATTTCAACCAGAGGGGAAAGTAGCTTCAGAAGACAGGATTTTCTGATATTTGGACATCTCGCCCCTGATTGGCTAACAGCAATACAACTCTATCACTGACTCCATTTGTTCTGCAATGTTGATGTTTTATCGCCACAAATAACACAAGCCTGAAGGAGTTCTACTGTGTGGTGGAGCTGCTAATGCTAACGGTTAGCTTCTGCTAGCCGAGACGTCCTCTGCTTTTTCCTGGACTCTAAACCATCAACAGCCTTCCCCGTCGTGAGCCAAGATGGGTGAATTCATAAATGTTAAGAGACAGTGTGACGTAGATCTGACAAGGTTTTCAAATCCTCGAGTTTCACCGTCTATTTTTAGTCAGAACCTAACGCAGGAGCTAGGTGTGAGGTTCCATTAGTCATCACACACTGGTTAAACTCATCTCTGCATGAGTTTGGGGATCAGTGAACTGCATTAGTGGCCATGTCTGAGAAATATTTTGGTGGTTTTACCACCTTTCCAGTTTATTTTGTGTCTTTACAAATAATTGTGAGCTATTAGCTTTTACAGATATTTTTAAATGAAAATTTTAATGAACATTAAGATAAAGAAACCTTTGCTGATCAGGTGCCCTACGAGGAGCTGGGTGGGAAGACGCTGATGATGTCGGTGTACGATTATGACAGATTCTCCAAACACGACGTCATTGGAGAAGTGAAGCTGCCCATGAACACCATCGACCTTGGGCGTCCAATTGAAGAGTGGCGGGACCTGGAGAGTGCTGACCAAGAGGAGGTTCTACTTAGAATGCTTAAAGCTATGAATTTAAATGTTAGCATCAAGTGATCTGGATAACAAATCAATTTGATGTTTTTCTTGTTTTCCCAGCCTGAGAAACTCGGAGACATCTGCATCTCCCTCCGTTACGTCCCCACTGCTGGGAAACTCACCGTCTGCATCCTGGAGGCCAAAAATCTGAAGAAGATGGATGCCTGTGGATTATCTGGTATAAAACATTTAAACTAATTAAGGAAGATTGGTACCTACACCCTAAGGAGGGTGTGTGGGAGTTCGCCCAATCATTCTACATGTGTTTTGTGGACTGTGTCCCTCGGAGGGCCCTTTGGGGGCACTTCGGGAGTATGGGGTACCAGGCCCTCTGATACAGGCTGTTAGGTCCCTGTAAGACCGGTGTCAGAGCTTGCTCTGCATTGCTGGCAGTGAGTCAAGCTCGTTTCCAGTGAGAGTTGGACTCTGCCAAGGCTGCTCTTTGTCACCGATTCTGTTCATAACTTTTATGGACAGGATTTCTAGGTGCAGCCAAGGTGTTGACGATATCTGTTTTGGTGGCCTAAGGGTTGAATCTCTGCTTTTTGCAGATGATGGTCTTGAGTCAGAAAAGGGTAGAATGCCTTCTCCGGGGCAGGGACGAGGTCCTGCCTCAAGTGGAGGAGTTTAAGTATCTCAGGGTCTTGTTCACGAGTGAGGGAAAGATGGAGAGCAAGGTCGACATGAGGATTGGTGCTGCATCTGCAGTGATGTGTTCGTTGTATAGATCTGTCTTGGTGAAAAGAGAGTTGAGCCAGTAGGCGAAGCTCTCAATTTACCGGTCAATGTACATTCCTACCCTCATGTATGGTCACGAGCTTTGGGTGGTGACCGAAAGAACAAGATCGCAGATACAAGCGGCCGAAATTAGTTTTTTCTGCAGGGTGGCTGGACTCTCCCTTAGAGATAGGGTGAGAAGCTCAGTCATCCAGAGGGGCTCGGAGTAGACCCGCTGCTCCTCTTCATAGAGAGGAGCCAGCTGAGGTGGCTCGGGCATCTGTTTAGGATGCCTCCCTGGTGAGGTTTTCTGGGCACATTCAACTGGGAGGAGACCTAAAGAAAGATCCAGGACACGCTGGAGAAACTACGTCTCTCGGCTGGCCAGGGAACACCTTGGAATTCCTCGGAGGAGCTGGCCCAAGTGGCTGGGGAGAGGGAAGTCTGGGCCTCCCTGCGTAGGCTGCTGCTTCCGTGACCCGACACCGGATGAGGGGACGAAAATGGATGGATGGAAGTTTGGAGTGATGCTCATTAGGTCTTCAGAAAAGCACATCAAATCGAAGAGCAAAGTTTCAAAATAGAAAGATCAATGGAAAGGATGTCAAGTTGAACTTAAGTCCATCTTTTATAGAAAGTTTTAGAAAGGAAGATATTTAGCTTTTTCAGCACCAAAAAGTAAGGAACTGAAAATCTAGCATTATGTATCAGCGCTGAAAGCAAAATTGCTAAAATCTCTTCTAGATCCTTATGTGAAGATCCAGCTGCTGCAGGGGGGTAAGAGACTGAAGAAGAAGAAGACAACTGTCAAGAAGAACACCCTCAACCCTTATTATAACGAATCCTTCAGCTTTGAAATCCCACTGGAACAGATGCAGGTAAAAGTCATATAAAACATTTGTGTCACTGATATGATTTATTATCTTTTTTAATTTGTTAAATACTTTTGATTTTAATGAAAATGTTAATACATTTTGGAGTTTTATTCCTGTGAATGTCAACCTCTATGGCTTTTGTTTTGAAAAGATGGAGGCAACATCTATGGTTACACAGGCAAAGGCTTCTGCACTTTCTAAAATTCGCAAATCCTCTAAGGACAAAATTATTCCCAACTCCTGGTTATAACCATCTTAGCTAGTGACCCCAGTTCATAGCGTTAAACCATTTTAATTATTGAACTTTGTCTCATCCTCTTGTGCATCAATCAGTTATAAATATTTCTTATTTTAACATGTTTCAGGCTTTTTTTTTTTACTTTCACAGGTGGAGTGTTATAGACTCAGCTATGACGCCACCTGATATCAAAACTTTATTAGAATTGCTTTTGATTGTTTTTAATCCCAACGGACATGGAGATGGAGATGAAAGGAAGAGGTGGGGGAAAGTTCACAAAAATAAACTGTAAAGAGGGCTGGGGGCACACACACACACATACACACACACACACACACACACACACACACACACACACACACACACACACACACACACACACACACACACACACACACACACACACACACACACACACACACACACACACACACACACACACAACAAAACTGTGCCAGCCACATGACAACATTTAACAGTAACAATGTTTGCTGACATGCACATGGTAATTCATAGTACATTTAGTGTCAACTACATCCCGGGGTAATGTGTCAAAAAGACCCAGGCCCATACTTGTGAGAGCACTATGTGAGCACCTGTTTGCGTACATGTGCTTGTGTGAGTAAGGTTTCTCTGCAGGAATGCTCAATAATGAGTGTGAGGGGTCACAGACCTGCCCCCCAAGACCCCTGGACGATGGAAACGATCTAAACATCTAGAGGTCACTCTATGTGACCTCATGGGAGTTTGCCAAAGGATCAGTTTCACCCATTTCCCAGACCCCAGCAGAGGCCCGACAGAGGCCAAGGGCCCAGGCCCCACCAGGCAGCCACCGGGAGCAAGCCGGCAGATACAACACCCAGCCCTAGACACGGGCAGACAGTGGCATCACCCACCAGCAAGAAATGTGTCAGGGGACAGATGTGGTTCAGATAAATGGAGCTTAAGCAAAATAGGTTTTAGTGCAAAAATTAATCATAAAGGATTGTCAAAGGACTCTTCTCACATATTTTATTGTCCCTAACACTCAAGGGGGGAAACATAGATAATAGAAAAATAAACAATAGGGGCAAATTTTTCTCGCTAACATAGAAATGGGTTTTTCTCTTTCTTTCCTAGAAAATCTTGGTGGTCGTCACAGTGTTTGATTATGACAAGATAGGTAAGAACGACGCCATCGGGAAGATCTTTGTCGGCAGCAAGGCGACTGGCTTAGGTCTTAAGCACTGGTCAGACATGCTGGCTAACCCACGCCGACCCATCGCCCAGTGGCATGCGCTGCAGCCAGAGGAGGATATTGATGGGCAGCTCGCAGCTCTGGCTGCAAAGAAATAACCACCTCACCAACCAGCTCTTTGCTCTAAACCACCCTGATCCTGTTCTGCATGAACCCTGCAACCTGACAAATGACTCAATACGGAATCCTGCTCAGCAAAAAAAAAAAAAAAAAAAAAAAAAAGACAAACGTTAGAAAATCCTTTCATTCGGGATGAGTCAAAGGAAACTCTCTCTAGCATCAGATGTCAGTGTTTACTGAACAGAGGGATGTTGATTTACTGAGTGAGCTGTTCATTAATGATCGAGTTTTGGTCTTTTTGGTTTGAAGAAACTGATTTACAGGGTGCTTAAACCGAATGAATACATAATGAAGATAATGCTGGATTTAAAAAGCTTTAGTTTAGTTTATAGAGCATGCCTTTAATTAACCCTACTGCTCTGCACACACCTCACCCAGTATTAGCTTGCTCTAAGTGTTCCACCACCTCCAATAGAAGGTTCTGTAGTTTTGAAAAGAGTCAGTTTGTTCTCAAGTCCAAGAGTTTGGATCTAAGCTGAACCAGATGATGTAGCAATTATTTTTTTCTTGCTATGAAATCACATCTGTGCATTTAAAGTTCAACACCACGTTTATTCTGTCAGATCTAATGTAGGACAGAAATCAAAAGGGTGCCTTCCTGATGTGACATTTTGAGTTGATAGCTTGGTTTTAGTGTTTATTTCAGAAGCTGTCAGGGAAACTGAATGTGCTGCTGGACGTACGGCCCTGACTATTTGGACACCAGAAGGATTTGTGCTATGCTGCTTTTTAATTCTGCCGCTGCTGCTAAATAACTCGACTAACTCATTTTATTTTGAAAGGAACTGACTTGTACAGTATTGCTTTCCGTCAAAGTCAAGGAGTATTATTTTAGATAGAAAATTAGGTAACACTTTATAATAAGGGTCTCTTTATTAAATTTACTTAATGCATTTTGTGTGCTCCAAACACAACTAAAACTACAATTAAATGATTCATGACATCACTCTTCACAAAGAAAAGAAAGGTAGAATAAAATCTACTTTTTTTACTGTTATGTTTTCTAGTTGTTAGAAGGCAGTAACATTATCTACATGAGCTTTAGTACAGCAGGAGCTCACAAGCAAACACGCTACATTAATCTTGTAACCCTCAGCAGAACTTCTCCAGAACTCTAAACTACACCTCTATTACATCCATGTCCATTATATTTCATAAATAACACAAATACCAATATTTACAAATCTCACCCAATCCCACGATGGTTTCCTTTATACTGAGACCAAAGTAAGCAAATAGACCTTCTGGTTACAGAAATATACTCACCACAGTGTGGGTATGTTCCTCCCTAATATTGTTATTGATTAAAAAAAATTGCTTGGATACAAATTGTTCTGAATGATTAAAACACGATTAATCAAGATTTATTAATTACATAGCCTCTAACTAATTAGATTATTTTTAATCGAGTCCCACCCCTATTATTATTATTATTATTATTATTATTATTATTACAAAAACTACACAAACAATAAAGAATGATGGAATGTTCAAAGACAAAATGTTGAAATGTTTGATTTCTTCCTTCCAAATTGGCAGAATTTAACTGCTGACTTTAAGAAATGAATCAACACACATAAACACAAACTGACCAAAAGTATTGATCATGTATTAAAGGACAAATGAAAATATGTCATGTGATTAGTCTGTACTTTGATTGGCCGGTACTTCTGATGCAACATTTCACTCATTTCTGCTGTAGGGGTAATCATTAGAGCTGAGGTATCGGTCCTCAGCTCAAAGTGGCATCTGAAGGTGTCGACATTGAAAAAAACCTAATAAATAAACAGCTATGTCATCTCCTAAAATAAATTATTCAGAACACATAAAACATGAAGTTGAACTCAGTGGTTTTCAAAATTTCAACACAATAAAAAACAAATTAAACACGGAAATTCTGTTTATTGAAAAACTTGTGTTTCCTCACTCAAGAAAGCTGAGCAGCAGCAGCAGCAGCATGCAGACTGGTTCACCCACGGAGCTTCACTGCACACACCTGTTAATAGGCTACAGCATGTCATTATGAGACATTGTAAATAGTAGCATGTTTTAAAGAGAATCTATACATGTGTTGTGAATGTGTGTTTGTGATTTGTGTCATTTTTATAATAAATTAGAGTAATAAAAAGTGCACTGGCTGCAAAGTGTATGTATTTTTTCTGATTGAAGCTGAATGGTTGATTGAAACATTCACAGAAATAGAGTTTTATTTTTTTGTGATGCAAAAACCCCTCAAACCACTGCATGACTGTGTTTTTATTTCTTTGTCATCTGTCATCTTAAATGTTCATCTGGCCTGAAATCAGTTCTGATTCATGTTTCTAACCAACTTTATATACAAAACCAAAACTTTTGTCTCAGTGTGACTTTGAGTGTTTTCTTTATTTATTCCTGCCAAATGTGTAGTGAAAACCTTTTTTCGTAATTCCCACCACACATTTTATTTCTCTACATGATCATTTCTGTGAATTATTACATCATATTGATGCTGTTCTCTTGTTTATTGGTATGATAATCAATAATAATCACCACTTTCTGAATGAAGACGGTGTTAAAGTCATGCATTAGAATGGGAAGAGTTGATAGTGTGACAGTAGTGCATGATTTTACATCCGGCTGTGTTTCCTCGTCTGTTCTTTGAGACAAGTATTTCATCGATCTTTCTGTTAGCACGTGCTGCACGAGGATAAATAACCCTTGTTTATATTCCAGCCCATCAATGCTTTATTCTCTCCAGAAGCTAAAATGAAGATACATTAATCTGCAGTTTGTCAGAACCTGGATTTTTTCTGTAAAGAGACGTCTAATTATGTTGTCAGCCGTGTGTTTGGTTGCAAATCTGGTCGAATTTGGTGTGTTGTCACATTCTGTGCATTTGCAACAAGGACCTGCTCCTTTGTTTTCTGATTTTGAATCTTACGAATGTTTTCCTGCAATGCAGACAACAAAATCCATGTCTTCCAGGGTTTCTCAAGAAAAACAGTAACCCAACCTGGGAAAACAAATAACAATGATGCTGCGATATCACCAACCTGCTGTTTTCATTGTGGTTCCCCTGCAGTCCCGCCTCACTATATGTCAACAGAGCCACGACACACACCTTGTTATTGTCTCGTTTACAACCGAAGCTACATAGACGAGGCTACGCTCCTCCTCGTTGACCCTAGTTTTAGTCTGTTGTGTACGTGTGCCACTAGTTGTGCCTTTTTTGTGAAATGCATGATTTTATTTTCTGCCAAAGTTTCTTCCAGCAACAAAAGACCAAAAAACGTATCCACGTGTAAACTTGAATCTATGTAGAGAATATGCGAGGCAGCCTATCTGTGTGTTGTGAAACTGTAATCATAAATAATAAATAATAATAAAAGCATTTTTTAGAATCTAAGTCTTGTGTGGCTTACTTTAAAAGGTGTTTTTTAACTGGTGGTCAGTAGATGGCAGTGTGGGGCAGCGTTTTTGTGTCTTTCAACATTTTATTTACTTCAATTTAAATGTATTTTTTATTATGATGTAAGAAGGATTGATTTTATTCAATTATATATTGTACTCATTTATTTTTTAAATAAATCTTCAGTTTATTCCAACAATAGAAGTTTAACCATTTCTGATCATGTTTAAAATAGAAGGATTCATTTTTATTGACTGTATGAACATATATTTTATGTTTAATCCCTCTAACAGCGATGGAAACATATTCACTTAAACTTTCATGCATTTATTTTGTGAGTGTGCAAATAAAAAAATAACATTTTAAATTTATGGTGGGAAAATATCTACATTTATTCCGATAAAACATGCCTTTATAGAACTAAAATGTTAAACCTAAAGCAGGATTAATGCCTGAAATACACAGTTTTTAAATCTTTCACATTAATAATTATTGAAATTTTGTGATGAACTTTTGTCCTTTCAGAGTGTATTTCCCAGGCTGACTGTTTTACGTCTGTTCTCTCTTCCTCTGGTATCCTGTGTCACTTGGAGAGCTTTGTGATGACTCGAATTAAAGCTCCATTCTCATCCTTCAGTCTCTGGTTCTCCAGCTTTAACTCAGCTTTAACCTGCAGACAAAACACAGAAAAATAAAACATGTTCAGATTTATGAGTCACCTGAAAGGGAATTATTTTAATTAAACAAGTTAACTTATTAATTTCAACACATTTGCAAAGGCCGCTGGTATAAATGAGTGTCGTTTTATACCAGTGTTGGTCAATTGTTAATTGACCTTGGTTGGAAAAAAGCTCTGGCGCTCCTGTTTCAGGAAGTAGAAGCAAGTCAGAGCAGAGAGGAGCAGAAGGTGGCAAGAATCCCTATTCTCACACTTCCACCCTTGCTCCCTTCAATTGTGCTTTACCGTCTGGGGTTCAGTAGGGTGTCCCACTTCTCAAGTGCAGAAGTTGATCACTCCACTTTTGTATCTTTTTCTGCACTTTGCCCAAGTCTGCATCGATGCTGACTTCGGACAAGGGTATTACCCACAATCCATTGTTGCGTGGGAATTTCAAGAAGAAGGTGGATTAATGGCTCAAGTGTCTTTTCTGAAAATCCATCCATCCATCCATTGTCGGAACCCGCTTTTCCATGTAGGGTCACTGGGGGACTGGTGCCTATCTCCAGCGGTCAATAGGCAAACAGGCGGGGTACACCCTGGACAGAGAGCCAGTCCATCGCAGGGCAACACAGAGACACACAGGACAAACAATCATGCACACACACACACACACACACACACACTCACACCCAAGGACAATTTGGACAGACCAATTAACCTGACAGTCATGTTTTTGGACTGTGGGAGGCTAGTTCCATACCGGAGTACCCGGAGAGAACCCACACATGCACAGGGAGAACATGCAAACTCCATGCAGAAAGATCCCAGGCTGAGAAGCGAACCCAGGGCCTTCTTGCTGCAAAGCAACAGCTCTAACCACTGCGCCACTGTGCAGCCCTTTTCTGAAAATATTTATTTTCAAATGGAAAAAGTTAATTTTTAAACAATCAATGATATTTATCCGGATTAAGATGTAATGTGAACAGCAATGGATGTAATATTTGTCAAATCAATGTTTTTTTCTATGAGTATGTAGCACAAACAGCAACCAACATCCCAGCATGCATTGTGGTCACACTGCCTGTGCCAACTCAGCACACTTGTGCACTACACACTCGGGGCCTTTCTGCGCATTTGCTCTAAGTGCACTTCACAGAAGTGTTCAGGGCGAGTATTAGGATTGTACCATAGCAAGATTTAGGAGACTTACTTCCTGACATTTGAACATCTGCTCTCTCATTGGCTAATAGCTATGCGACTCTTCTGACTTTGCTGTACAACTGTGGCAAGTACAACAACGTTTTATCTATTGAAATAACAAAAGCCTGAAGGAGTTCTGCTGTGTTGTGGAGTTGTGAATGATAATGTTAGCTTCTGCTAGCCAAAATGTGGTCTGCCTTGTCCTGGACGCTAAATCATGAACAGCATTCCTCATCACAAGCCAAGATGGGTGCGTCCATGAATGCTAATTTCCAGTGTATTGTAGTTCTGTGTGTCTTTTTCTAATGTAAGCATTTCCCCGCCTATTTTATGTTATGCTAATGCAGGAAAAATATTTTCATGTTTAGGCTGCATGTGAAGGTCAGACTGACCGGTCACATTTAAAAAATAACGAGTAAAAATAGATCTCAGTGAAGATTTCTTTAGTAATGATGTGTTAGACCTAACAGAAATATCACGAGTTTTTATTAATTTTTATTGCTGTAATGTTCTTGCAAAAATGCTCTCTAGATTACAACACACACACACACACACACACACACACACACACACACACACACACACACACACACACACACACACACACACACACACACACACACACACACACACACACACACACACACACACACACCTGTTGTTCTGAATGGCCATATTCAGACCAACATCTTACATTTGTTGAGACATTTTATTGACAGTAAACAAGAGGTTGTTGTTTGTCTCTTGGGCCAAACACAGCAGACAGTCATGAGCTCACTCTAACTACTTATTGCTCAGTAAGCCTTCACACATTCCACAGCCAAGGCATCACAATGGTGACAAATGATGTCAGCTACAAGCATCGCAGACAAAACAGCACACAGAACGCCGAGTTTCATCACCACTGACTGACGAACGGCCAAAGAGTGTCTGGGTAATAAATTTAAAACACATGAAATGACCTTTAATTGATCTTCCATATCTGATATCTTCTTTTTAAGGCTCCAACTCCCCTGTTGAGATAATTCAATACAAATAATTACAATAAAAAATACATATAAATATAAATATAGATATTTGTACCTTTTTTTCTGCTTCAAGCATGTAGGAACCATCATCTGGCTTCCCGTTCTGCAGCACAAAGTTGTTGGTGAACTGAAGCACCATTTCACAATCTATAACATCTTGTCTTTCTTGTTTTTAAATTAGAAAAAACAAAAACAAGATGTTAAAAAAGTACCTGAGTTCTTTGCAGCTGGTCCAGGATTTCAGAGAGCTCCTGTTTACTTGTTTCCAGTCGAGACTTGAGCCTTTGATTAGTGGCTACTGCCTTCTCATACATCTATAAAATACAGACAGAAGTACAAAAGACTCATTTTACTAGTAACCAAATGAAAACAAAAATATTTGTTTAGTTTTCATGGTGTAATGTCAGCGACTGAAGCTTGTTTTAAAGTGACGATCCCATTTTGAAGTTATTTGAATTTGATCTGAAACTATTTTGTGTCGGTTGTATTGTTCACTTCTGCCTGTATATCAGCATTGTGTGGCAAACTGAAATTGTTTACTTGTTTAGATGTGACATCCATGAGTCAAAAATATCCCATTTGGCTATTTTAATATAACCCCTTTCAGCCTAGCATCGAGCTAAACCACCTCTGGCCTTAAAGCAGCAATTTGCAGTTTACTCCTTTTACGAATTATATTGCAAAGGGTCAAAATATCAGTTTACCAAAATATGTCCATCACAAGGCATGCAAGTGCATTGAGGACAGACCTGGACAGATGCAGAATTCGCAAGTTTTCTCATGGACAAATAAGCTGTTTAAAAAAAATCGTGCTTAACCCTCTGGAGGCAGGCGTTGCAGATTTGCAACACATAAACCTACCTACCTGGTTACTCCACATACGTGTTTCATGAGCATTTTTTAACTCAGAAGCAACCCTGAAGGACTTAGTTGTTCGTCCTTTTATCAAAACTTATTTTGAGCCTGAGAGGGTTAATGTGTTTTTGCCCTGTTGGTCTGCTAGAGGTGCGCTATCACAAACAAGCTTCCAGCTGTAATCACGAAAGTAGGGAGAAAGGCTTAAAGGTGTAACACATTTTTCCATCTCTAGATCGTGTCCACTGAAGAAAACCCTCTAGATTTCTTCTTAAAGTGACTAGATGAAGTATCAGGATTAGAACCGTCTTCACAAATTTGTCAAATCCAGTCCGATTAATCTCTTATGCCCCCTGGGGGAGGATCTAAAGGTGGGAAGGGCCAATTTTATTTACTTATTACTGTTCAAATTTTACATAATTGCACAAAATATAAAAGTGTTTCGTAAATATTATAAAATGTTGTTAAAGCTGCAATGGCAAATTTGAAAAACAAATTAGCTTAAAATGTTTTTTCATGCCTCTTAACAACTTTCGGAGCGAAAGCAACTATTGCACCGTCCGGTTGTCTGCCACACTTCCCTGGGACCTCCACTCATTCCACGCTCACGTATTTAGCACTACTGGTGTGAGAGGTTCTCCGCTTAATACTATCAGCGAAGGACAAACAGCCGGCTGCTACCACTTCAACTTTAGGACAAACTACCAGAGTCCCACATACAAAAACATCCTTTGATGTCACAAAAAAACAAAAGACGCTGAAAAACGTTGACTGGTGTTTAGCGCTGCCTCGTTTCATCTGGCATTGCGAGTTTCCGGTTCCGGCAGAAGATACCCGAGGGGAGGAGTGAGTGTTACATGACCGTGTTTGCACTCAGAACCTAGCTTGTTCTGCAGATATGCTTTAGCAGCTTTAACATTAGCCAGTTAATAAAGTTTTATAAAATATGATTATTATTGCATCATATGTTAAATGTTCAAAAAAGAAAATGACTTTAATTTTGATTTTCTTTTTAATTCATTCATACATAAGAGCAGCAGGAGCTCTGGGGGTTGTCCAGTAATTGGAAGGTTGCAGGTTCAATCCTGTCTCCCACCAGAGAATGCTGCTGTTGTGTCCTTGAGCAATACACTGAACCCACCTTGCCTGCTGGTGGTGGCCAGAGGGACTGGTGGCGCCTGGGCTCAGAAAGCCTCGCCCCTGTCGGTGTGATACACTGTATTGTAAAGCACTTTGGAGTCCTCTGACTCAGAAAGGCGCTACAAGAGCAGATCATGTATCATAAGATGCTCTTGTATTGAACCTTTGACCTGCAGGTCGGCTACTTGCACTAAACGGGGAAAATGAAATTGAACATTTACAGAACAAACGTTTTGCTTCAGCTTGACTTCTTACTGGATAAATACCTTGCAGTCAGAATCCTCTCAACCTAATCTGTTGTCCTTAGAGGACATTTCATCACCTGCCTTTTTATAGTCACTGTTCAACTTCTCCTCTTCTGCCCTTTTCTTTGCAGACAGTCTGTTCTCCCTCTGTAGGAAGTAGGACTCGGCATGATTTGTTGACGGGTCGGTGAAGGTGCCGGATGACCCAGATGAGCCCAATCTAAAGACATGAGAAAGCTTTTAAAAGTTTTACCCAATTTAAATGAGAAATCTTCTAAAACTGAATTAGGATGCTTACCTCAGCAGTCTTTCATGCTGAAACAAAAGGAAAATGTTTTACAGTTTGATGCGTAATTCAAAAACAGTAAATCTCTCTTTGCAGTTACATTTTCAGACAACAGCACATCTGCATCCATCTATATTTCTGAGACTTTGGCAAACCATGACTGTTGAGTTGCCCATCTCACAGTGAAGCAGTGTTTCAACTTTCCATCCAAAGCTTAATAGCAGTCTGAAATACCAAAGCGAGCTAAAGGAGGGGAGAGGAAACAATCCCTTATATAAACTGACACACAGAGATAACTAAACACATCCAAAAAAGGTAATAACTCTGGCAATGACCCTCACAATTAGTTCACAATCTCGTCTAAAGCTGGAGGGGTTGTGAGGGATTTGTCCGTGGAGATTTAAAAAACCAGAAGAAGAAAAACAGTTTAAAAATAGTTTGACCCCTTTCAAAAGATCAGAGTCAGAGTGTAGAACACAATGTCTGTTGTACTTAGAAGCAAATCAAAAGGTCTGATGGTGGCCAAGTGAAGATTTCTGGGTAAAAGAGGAGGAAATGTGTTGGTGAGCATTTTTTTTACGTTTGTAAAACAAAAGCAGGATTTTTAAAGAGTTTTATTTTACTTGTAGGATCATATATATATATATATATATATATATATATATATATATACTAGTACATCTGATTTCTGCTCATAAAAGTAATTCTACACTTATATTTTCTCCCAAGTCTTTTTTTTTTTCAGTAAAAAATTTCTTTTGTCAGCGTGGAGTCTTTTTTCACAGACCTCAGGAGGAAACCAGACTTTGTGACAGCTGTTTGAAGAGATGAACGCCAAACCAAATCAACAGGCTGAGTGTAGACAGAGCTTCACAGGCATAAACACTGACGTGCTCCTTCAGTGTGACATTTACAGGACTTCAGTATCATCATAACCAGGCCTGATGTCACCTCCTAATGGCCTCACTCGGTGATGCTCTGAGGTTTATTAATGCTGCTGGAAAAATCCCTGGTTTAAATATAAACTGATGCTGATGGACGAAAAGGTTTTTAAATTTGTACCATTCATGTCCTCAAGTGTGTCTTTATCTCTGAACTGTCCTTTGAGTCCCAGGATCATTTCTATGTTTCCTTTTTCTTTTTCTTTTTTTTTTTGTCTGCTGACCCCTAATTCCCGAGTGGGAATCACAAGCTTCCCGTAGGACCGGCAGAGGCACAAACATCCATGAATATCGTGAGTTCCCACAATCACAGTCCTCCACATGCGTCCCTGTCATCATGTCTTTCAGCTGCTATTATTCTCTTCCAGCATCCCTCCATCCTTCTCTACAAACAAATTCTTGCTATATTCAAACTGATATTTTCTAGAAGTTAAATTAGTTTTATTTAACTCTATTAGCAGCCATGAGGGTTTTTAAACAAAGTTTAAAAAAACGTAGCTTTTATTGGATATACATGAGATTTATTTGTTAGATGTTTAAATGTTTCCATTCAACAGAAAGTTAAGTGTTAAAATATTCAAACTTATGCCATATTTGCAGATAATGGATCTGTTCATGAGTAAAATTAATCACATTTCAAATATGATGAATGTTCTACCTAGAAAATGTAAATTCCTATGTTTACGATGAGCTAACAAAACATGATTGTTACCATATCGCTGCATAAACTTGCGGAATAACAAACAAGTTGCTTAATCAGTAAATTTGACACTTAGTTAAAAGTTGATTTAATTATTTGTTCTGTGTAAACAAGCAGCAAAGAGATGATACTCAGGCCTTACCCTCGAGCTCCTGGAACTGGCAGCAGATGATGCTGGACAAGAATCAGAGAGCGACTTTCTCAGATGTTCCTGATCTTTCTTGTGGGAAAGTAGAGATGACATAGTTCTGGAACGGCCAAGGCAGCTGCCTGCAGCTGGAAGGTTTTTCCAAATTATGCCTAAAAAGTATTTTTTTACACCAAGATTTTCACAAATCCCAACTAGTCGAACCAGAAACTGAACTCGGATGCGGCCGCTGCAGCACTTTCTTGGTGTGATGGAAAGACATTTCAGATCAGATGAGAGTGAAAGAGAAACACAAGTGTTAGGGAATGTGGAGGGAGCAGTGGGAGTGGGCAGGCTGTAACGTGTGTGTGTGTGTGTGTGTTTGTGTGTGTGTGTGTGTGTGTGTGTGTGTGTGTGTGTGTGTGTGTGTTTGTGTGTGTGTGTTTAGATTAGGAGGGAGTATTGCTCACATGGTCTCTAAAGTGACTCAGGGAAATTCAGAAGAAATAAAAGAATAAATTAATAAAAGTATTGTAAAAGGCAAAATAAATAAATAAAATAAAATAAATAAAAAAACACACACAAAATCAATGTGTTTTAAATAAAAGTGTTACCTAAAGAAGCTTTGTGTTTGTTTCAGCAAATGGAGGAAATAGTATTTATATGTGCTTCTATAAAGGTTAGTTTCATTTATTCAATTTGTTTTATGGCATGTACTTTTGTCCATTTCAATCTCCTCTAACATGAGGATTTAAAAAAAATTAGGTGAGAATAGCAGTCAATCAAGCCTTTTCTGGAATATTTATGATGTTTTATATTTTACTGCATGCTGAGATTTGGTTACAAAGTCTGGCCATGTGTTGTTTTTTGTTAGAAACATTCAGGTGTGATCATATTTAACTGAATTAACCTGACTGTGTACTCTACTCATTCAAAAGGAAAAAATGTGTAACGCATTTTGTCCAGGTCCTTATTTATTTGTTTACTAAGGAAACCTAAAGCTGCAAAATGGTACAATCTAATGTCTGTGAACGATGCATTTCAGTATCTATATTTAATGCATTTAATTGATGCTTTTAATTCAGAATCATCTAACTGTTGCAGCTCATATAAACGTTACAGGTATATAACAATAATAATAATAATAATAATAATAAAAATAATAATATTCAAATATACATAATATATAATATACAATAATAATAATAATAATATACAAATATATATAATGTACAATAATAATAATAATAATAATAATAATAATAATAATAATAATAATAATGAATAAAGGTGGAAATGCAAATTTATCAATAAAACAAGAATAAGAGGCACATTTTCTTATCAGGAGAATTGAGAAAAAAAGTTTTCCAGAACTTTGTCACAAACTTGGGTTCTCTTTTGACTTTTAAGAAAGTAATCCAGCGCCATCTGCTGGATGAAAATATAATTTTCGTTAAAGAGATACCAAATTACCAGAAATGAATGAATTAACAAAGCCAAGACAATATTGTATCAAATTCTCATGAACATTTGGAGGACCCATTTGTAAACGAGGTGGTTCATCTCAAGAGGTTAGTCCTCCGAAAACACAAGTAAATAAATAAATTAATAAATTAAATAGCCTAAATAAACATTGTAATAATAAGAAAAAAGGCAGATTTGATACATATGACCAGCTGCTGAAGCTTATTTAAATCAACATGTTTTTACAATTAATTCTAACGTTCTGGAATATATGTGGCAACTTAAAAGAATTATCTTTTACATTTGATTTTCCAATTTTAAAACAGTTGTTCAAGAGTTGTTCATCACAGTTTTCAGATTTATTATCTAATGACAACTTTCGGACATTAGTGACAAAACTTCTCTTCATTTATTTGTTTCTGTGGTGACAAAAAGTGAAAACAGATTTACTATTTTCATCATGCTTTTATTTTGTAGGCCACAGCTATGTTCTGATGATTATTGGACTTTTTAAACCACAACCCAGAAGTATTCAGTTTTAAATAATGTGAACTTTGTGTTTTTATTCTTTATTTTAAAGGTGAAAAAGTGAAAATCTTTAATTATCTAGAAAACACATTTGCTCTTTAGGATAGTTTATCAGTTTTAGTCAGTGGAAGAAGAGTGTAATCATTGATTTGTTTTGATGACGTAATTCTCTGTAATTGGGCTGGAGGCCAGAGACACCACTGTTCACCAGTTCATCCCAGGGACACACAGGGACATGTTGTGGTCCATGGTGGAGATCGGCTAGCTGGGAGAGGCTGGTTTGGGGACTTGGGTTCTGACACATGTGGACAGTGGTTGTAATCATCTCAGAAGCGGAAAAGTGTGGTGTGTGTGTGTGTGCTTAATACTGTAAATTCAGCTTTAATCACTTTCATTTTATACAAAATTGCTGATTTTAGAAGCATTCATGTCAGTATATCGTATCGGCAAATATCTGTTATCGGCCATAACGGTGATATTAGGCCCGGTGTGTGATATTTTTTACCAGTTTACTATAAAATCCTGTGTTTCCAGTTCACAAACTTGTCCTTTTTCACTAAAATTTCTCACCAACATAAATTCTAAATATTCCTCTCAACTTGAAATTATACATTTATATATATACAGTATAAACTGTGGTCGATGCTCCATGGTCATCCACCATTTTCAAATAGCTGTTTAGGGACATACAAGCTCCACATTAACCGTTTGGACTGTGACTGTAACCTGAAAGAACCAGCAGAGGGCAGCAGTGAGCCCTGGAAGAATGAAGTCTGCTATTTCAACTAAGGAATAGAAAAGAATAGCTACTCCGTTGCTGTACTTGTTAGTTTGAATAAAAAAAACTATTAAAGAAAAAGACATAAAATTTGTCAGTTCGTCATCATGTCCAACACAAGGAAGCCGTATATGTTCAGACCCCACTCACTATTAGCTGGACGCCAGCTTCCGATTAGTGTCTCTGACTCCCAAACTCACCTCAAGTTGTTCAACCGTCTTTTCCTAGTACTAGAACTCCTGATTTGGTCCCAATATGTCAGTACCAGAACTCCCGATCCGGTCCCAACGTGTCCGTTCCAAAGTCCTTCATTTGGTTAGGATTCCTCCTGGACGCCTCCTTGGTTAGGTTTTTTGGGCACATCCAACTGGGAGGAGACCTAACGGAAGACCCAGGATACGTTAGAGGGACCATGTCTCTTGGCTGACCAGGGAGCACCTTGGGATTCCCCCTGAGGAGCTGTCCCAAGTGGCTGGGAAGAGGGAAGTCTGGGCCCCTTGTCTTAGGCTGATGCCCCCGCGACTCAACTCCGGATACGTGGTTGAAAGTGGATAGATGGATGGAATTTATTCCTTTTAGTTATATGCAGAACACAGCCTTGTGGTAGGATGCGCATTGTGCAGAATTTATTCAAACAATGATGTTCACATTTCTCAGTCTTTAATATGCCACAGTGTCATATTTGCATTCTTAATAACTTTGGAGCTGCTAAAAAACTTGTTTTTAGAACGATTGCTTTGACAGCAACAGTGATGGGGAGCACAATTGAATTTGTTCCATGATGCTGGCTACTGATGCTGTCAGGATAATTGATTCATCTCAGGTTCAGTGCCCAAACAATGTCATCTCTAGCTGTTTTGTTGGAATAAGTACATTATAGGTATAAACAATAAGGCTTAATTTAGTTATCAAATCTGGAGCTGGCTTTTAATGCTGTGCATTTGAAAATTGCTTCCAAGACTTTCTTTTGCATAATTGACATTAAGGATTAACATAAGAAAGAGCTGTTTGTAAATCATGTTTAAAGTTAAAGTCCCACTGGTTGTCACACACTGGTGTGTGACATTTGTTCTCCGCATTTGACCCATTCCCTGGGGGAGCGGTGAGCTGCAGACACGGCTGCACTCGGGAACCATTTGGTGGTTTAACCCCACAACCCAACCCCTTAATGCTGAGTGTCAAGCGAGGAGGCATTGGGTCCCATTTTTTAGTCTTTGATATGACCCAACCGTGGATTTGAACCCCGATTTCCCAGTCTCAGGGTGGACACTCCTGCCACTAAGCCACTGAGCTGGTTGGAGGAGGATTTTTGCATTGAAGGAAAAACCAAAACAATTTCAATTAAACAAATAATAAAATATGGTGAAATGAGACATTCAGATATTTGTTAGCACATCTCTAATAAATAGAGGCACTGTTTAGTGTTTATTAGTCTAGATTAATGACGGATTTGCAGCTGGTTCTGGTGGTTGAGTTCTGCCATCTCAGATATGCTTCACTCTGCAAAAAACACATTTATATTGTCAGGTTGCTTCCTGCACAAACCTCTCACCCAAACATTTCTCACATGCAGGCTGCATACAGAAAAATGTATGACCTTTAACCCCCGGATTTACCTCTGACATTCAGTGTCATAGAGGACTCTGCTGTCCCCAGTTTGTTCTCGATGAGTACTTTGTAGTCTCCGTTGTCTTTGAGTCCAACTCGCAGCACAAGCAGGGAGCAGACGCCACATACATTTGTGATGAGGTAGTCTGTGTTTGTGTTCAGGCTCATGCTGTTGCGGTACCATGTCACACGTGGTGTTGGATTGCCTTTTACCGCACAGCTCATGTAGCATTCATATCCCTGAGGAGCCGTGTGCCTTTTCAGCGGGACAATGAATGATGGAGGCGACTCAAAGTCTGAGGATTTAATCTCTGGCAGATTTACCTTGAACTTCTCTGCAGTATGAAGAAATGAAGTTTAGTTAACTGATTGACTTATTTCTGTGCTTAAAAATTTTTTTTCTACTACAGGTTGCTGCATCAACACCTAAATGTGTCTGCAGAGAGTACCATATTCAAACAGACACACATAAATGTTTTTGCTATGGACGCACAATATGTCTGCATCAATATCAGTATCAGCCGATGTTGGTCATTTTTCAACATATGGGTTCGTTAGGGCCGTATAATTTGATGATATTAGATTGTTAAATATTATAGCGTGATGACGATCTACCAAAGCTCGGAGATCGTTAAACTGTCAGTTAGCATTCAATCATCCGTCTGTGCTAATATTTCTGGACACATTTGCTTCTGTCGGCCATAGCTGTCGGCACGACAGAGATTAACTGATAAGAGCAAGTTTTAGGCAGCGGGATGGTTTTTTTAGCAGGGGTGCTTGGTTTAGCTGAGGACAACAATCTAATAATAGATGCATTTAGATGCGACCATGAACGATTATGAATTGTTGGAGAAGCACGTCATAATCAATTTTACATGTATTCTCACACGTCTACTCGATCAAGGAAGCTCTGGGTCAATGTTCTGCACTAAAGTTTGCGTTTGTCTTCATGGCTTTTATTTTTTGGGCACGTTCATCTGTGTTTTAGCGAGCCTTTTTACCTTGGCAGGCCAATTGGAGTTGTTTATTCAGTCTGTGTAGAGAGATGGGCGTTGCCCCCCCCCCCCCCCCCCAATAGTCAGGAAACAGTTACGGAGAGCAGTGAGTATTATAATCCTGAATTGAGGATACAATTGCATCATGAATTTAGCTTAACATTAAGCTTCAGCAGTATTAGGGTATTATTGTATACAGCCGATGTTAAAACATACAGTAGGTGTCAGTTCCAGTACGTCACGAAAAATACAGCGCACGTAGGAGACAAGGATTAAAAAACAAAAATAATACGGAGATAAATAAGTCATTTAATGTATAGAACAGATAGAACAGAAGCATGGTTGAATTTTCAGTTTTACTTAAATAGATTCAAATGTTTTGTCCAACTTTAGAGTTGTTCCATAAAGTGTATGAAAGTGACAGCGTGGAGATGGAGCGCTGAGAGAACAATGGCAGCTTGCGCACCAGTGTTTTAGTAATAGTGTTTTTTTTATTCAGTTTCTGAATGGTGAAGGTCCAAGCCAACAGTTTAGTTATGTAGCTTTACTTTAGGGTGTTGTTTAGCATCCTCTGAAGTAAACAAATGTATTCTTTGGATTGATTGAAAAAGAAACATGCATTCTGCAAAAGATGCTGTTCCTTGCACAAAATGTTTAGCAGTTTTGTCCAGTGAATATTGACTCCTCACTAAAGTCACAATAGCGGATGCTGCACTGTGAGCAGTGCATTCACCAGCCTCTTTGTGGGTGTAGCTTCACGTTTGGTCACAGACATGTATGTTACAATGAGAGCTTTTCATGCCGTGCTAAACCTGCAGAAACCTCTGTCCTTTTTCCGGCCATTTGCTGACTTTGAAGTTCAGAAAACAGATTTTTGAAGTTTTAAGAAATCTGATTAGAGGAATGATAATTTTTGATTGTGTAAATGAAGCTGATCAAACTAATTCAGATAAACATGTTGTCATATATCTGGTTTAGGTTCATTTTCATCTGATCAGCAGTCTGCTTGAATGAATTTTTTTGTTTTGTTGGCTTTGTCTTGAATTCAAAGGGTCATTTATTAGATGAAAAATGTTGCTACTGAACCAAAGTTGTTCTACATTAAAAATAGGTAAAGTACAAAAAGATGGAGTGACATCAGAAAAAAAAACATGTTTAATTTTTAAATGTGATCACTTTTTTACTTAAAATCTATATATTTTTTTCTTAATTCAGTATATACTTCATTACATATAAACATGTAACATGTATGCAAATATATTATTTTTATTACTATCACAATTTGGCACAAACCTTTTTCCTTTTTGATCACAAACATCGGGGACTCAGATGGGGGTGACAGACCCATGTCATTTTTAGCAAACACCCTGAAGTTGTACTCCCGTCCAGGCATGATGTTGACAACCGTGAGCTTGCTGTTAAAGAGGTTGTCGGCCACCATCCTCCATGTGCGTTTGAAAGAGTCTCGTTTGGAAACCATGTAGTGTAACCTGCTGTCTCTCTTTTCATCTGGAGAAGGAGTCCAGCAGAGGGTCACTGTACCTGGGATGTTCTGATCCAGTTCTACAGGACCCGGGGGCTTGGGGTCATCTTAAAAATAAGATTTAGATGCAGAAATGCTGTTAGATATTGCAGTGCTAGGATACTGATTTCCATTTCAAATCACCTTTTTAAGGTGTATAGATTATTTTCAACCTGCACAAAAAACTCATAATATAATTAAAAAATGTTTTTTCAGTGAAGTTGACCTGGAACCCCCCATGGCGCTTTACAACACAATCAGTCATTCACCCATTCACACACACACACATTCACAACCTGGTGATGAGCTATGTTGTAGCCACAGCTGCCCTGACAGAGGCGCCACCGATCCCTCCGACCACCACCAACAGGCAAGGTGGGTTCACCCCGGGTTTCCACGGGAGCCGTCAGCAGCACGTTACTGCAGCAGCACGTCTTGCTCGCGTAAGCTGCTGCTTGGCCCTTCCCATGAGACGCGAAGCAGCAGGGGAGCAGCCGTCACCGACAGAGCACGAAGTCACACGAGTGACTTCGTCAGTAAACACAACAACAAGCAGGAGAAAATTACAACATGGTTTGTGTTTTATGTTCTGTCCGTTTTATAATCGCCAATACGGATCTGAAAAACAAAGGAGACCGCTAGCTAGGTGATAACTTCTCACGGGGACGCACAGTTAGTAACGTTTTTTAAAAGTAAAGCAACCGGAAGGCAGTACGTTCTTTATTCTGAAAATCTCGGTAGCTTCTCTCCGTTTCCGCGTCCGATTTCCTGTCTTTCCTTCCCCAAAAATGTCGAACTTGACCCGTTTCAGAGGCGTCGCGCGTAGAAAATAGAACCGGCGCGTAAAGGCCGCGACATGCTGCTCCTGAGACGCGGCCGACTCGCGCTGCTGACGGCTGCCGACGGCTCCGGTGGAAAAGGTTCTGTTGACCACAGCGGGTCCTATCAGCAGCTATGACATGCTGCTGCAGTAACGTGCTGCTGACGGCTCCCGTGGAAAGCCGGGGTTAGTGTCTTGCCCAAGGACACAACGACAGTGACAGACTGAGTGGGGCTCAAACCTGTAACCGGGGCAAGCACTTAACTCCTGTGCCACCGTAGCCCACGGCCATTCAGGCCATTTACCGTTAACTTGTAGTTTTGACGTCTATTTCATATTTTTTCACTTGGATAGATCTAAGATGATCCAGTATCACTAAGGCTAAAATTCACCTGTGATTCTGACTTCAATGCTGAAGCTTTCCTGTCCTACAATGTTCTTCACAGTAATGGTGTAGATGCCGCTGTCTGACCTCTCAGATGTAGGAATCAGCAGCTGGGACCCTTTATCAGAGTTGGTAATGGTTACGTGCTTAGCCAATGGTATTCCATCCTTTACCCAGGAAATGTCAGGCATTGGGGATGCCTGTAGAAAGTACAAGTTAAAAAAAAACTTAATTATCAAAATGCCATTACTTGGGATAAAAAGCTTTTGCATCAAACTCTATACCTGAAAGTTGATGTTGAGGCGAACAGTGTTTCCAGATCTCTCCACCACTAATGTCTTCATGTTGCGACCTTTGAACTTTGGCCTTACTGTGGGGTAAATTAACAACAAACTTTTAAAACACTTATTTTTACCTCCTATCAGCAGCATGTTTGTCCAGCATATTAAAGTTGTTTTTCTTTGGACTCTCAGGATGGTAAAAGAGGAAATTAAATTTGAATGCTGACAGGACCGGGATGAGGACATTCATTAGTCAGATGAGTGTTGATCTATTTCCAGCTCTTTGTTTATTATTATTCATTGCGCTCTGGGTGCACCAGCTGTCAAATATTGCAGGCTTGTCTCCTGCTCTCAATAAGTGGAGCTTATTTGTTTCCCACAGTGCTGCAAGTGAATGAACAACAGGGTGATCCAACTAAATTACCAAATGTCTCAGTATAAATTCACTCTCGGACAGGGTGTCTGTTTCAGTGAAAGTGTAGGAGAAAACCAACAAACCAATGGCCCTTTGCCGAATGACTGTGGTGAGTGAACTTGTGTGTTTGCTGGTAAATGTTAAAGAAAGTGGCCTTAAGGCAGTCAGAAGTCTTCTTTTTCCTCATCGTAAAAACCATTCCATCTTCTGATTCCAAAAATGAAGTAACACTTAACAATAAGGGTCTCTTAATTAGTGTTAGTGCATTATTAAGCATTGATAAACCAGTGGTCCCATTATTAACATTACGTAATGCATAATTAAGCATTAATGAACCAAGGGTCCCTTTATTAACATTACTTATTTGATTATTAAGCATTAATGAACCAATGGTCCCTTTATTAACATTGCATAATGCATTATTAAGCATTGATAAACCAATTGTCCCTTTATTAACACTACATAATGCATTATTAAGCATTGATAAACCAATTGTCCATTTATGAACATTACGTAATGCATTATTAAGCATTATTAAACCAATGGTCCCTTTATTAACATTATGTAATGCATTATTAGGCATTAATAATCCAATGGTCCATTTATTATCATTACTTAGTGGATTATTAAGCATTAATAAACAAAGGGTCCATTTGTTAACATTCCTGTTGTAACGGAATGAAATGACTGTCTACCACCAAAAGTCATTTCCCCCTCTCCTCTGACACAGAACTAGTCTGCATGAGATATGGCCTCAAGGTCTCATGCAGTTGCTTATAAACTGCTTCTTTCCAGCTCAAGAGAAGAATGAAGAATGGACTCTCTCCTTTTAATAAATCAAAGGACTCTATATTTAATAAAGCTAATCAAACAAAGTGTTAGTCAATAATAAGATGTGAACAATCTGTGAAATGAAAATATTAATTACTTTATTATAATCCTATAGAATATAATAAGTAATATGGCTTTAAATGTTTCCACTAGGACTGATCTCATGTAGCGTTGAGAGAAGACACATTGCTTTTACTGATCCAATCAGAATCTGCCAGATCTGACGGAGGGGTAGTTTTGGTGGTGCTTGGCCTGTCATCTATTCATTTGACCATAAACCAAAACATCCGAAGTATAAAACTATGCCCACGTCATCTTTAACGCCAGTACTTAGCGTTCTAGAGAAGTTGTCGGAGTGGCCAATCCGTAACTTTCCTCTTCAGCCAAAAGAACCAACGACAAGCTGGATAAAATCTGTTGCTGTTCCAACTGCTGCAACGGTTCCTTTCAGAATAAAAGCGGAACCATCACGACCCAGGTTTGGGTCTCGCTAGATGACAACAAAACTGTTGTGACCCGGAAGTATCTCAAAGACTGGTCTGGTCGGTAACCGCTGCTTTTCCTACCGGCTTTGGTTCCAGAGAGGGTCCAGCTGGACCTCGACATTCCTGATCTAACAGGGACTTCCAAAAGGGTATGTAGGCCGACGGGATGCGTCGAATGTGTTTATGAATCTCCTAACCAAAGCTTAGCGCGAAGACATCACCTTCATTTCCCATCAGAACTAGTTGTTTCTTCGGATTAGCTGGTTCTGAGCAACATTCCACATTACACCATTCTCCGTCTCATTCACCTTAGTTACACCATACATTTAGTGTTTAAGTTAGTCTAGTTTAATTTGTTTAGTAATAAATCTGTAAACTTTTAAAACCTGACTCTCTTCTGTTGTCTCTGAGTTAATACAAAGCTGTTATCTAATTCCTGCAATAAAAAGTTCAAATCTTCTGGTTAAACAGTACCCACAGATCTATGAGGTTGATTTCATATTTCCAATGGAATTTTATGTATTATGGCTTATTAAATAACATGTAAGTTAACTCATTACATTGTGGTTATTTATTATTAAGTGTCCTTAATGAGCCGGGGGGGGGTTTCTGCTTAAATGCATTACATAATACGGTTAATCAGTTATTACTTTATATAATAGTTTGTTAATTCAATTCAAAATTCAATTCAAAGATACTTTATTAAACCCAGAGGGAAATTAGAACTTCAGTACACACAATTCTGAGATCAGACATACATACATAGGCACAGACACATGACAATAATTGGTGACTGTGGTCATTTGCAACCTGAGTCGCGCTACCTGAATAGAGATTAGAGGGTTTATATGAGGATTGAGTTAAGTGGAGGAAAAAAAAAGGCACTTCAGAGTTTCCTTCCACAGGGAGGGAAGCTTTGCTATGCAAAAAAACACCTCAGACAGAAATGCAACAGACTTCAGACATCATACAACATAAGTGTCCACTAGGTGGGGAGGTAGGGTTGGGGACTCTCCTCACATCAGTGCATGCAGCCGCAATAAGCAGTGCTTGTCACCTCCATCTGGACAGAGGAGGAGGTAGGAGGGAGGTAGTTGGGTTAGAGAGCACAGTGGCTCCTGGAAACGGGTCCACGACCTTCACCGGTTCCAGTCCCGCCCAGGCTGGGATAGGGGGACAGAATTGCCATGGCGACGGCAACATTCCACATTTCTTCTGAGGGGGAGTAATCACTTCAGCCTCACAGGCTCAAGGGCACCAGGTTCAGATAAGAACTTGTTTTGGGGCCAGACAGAGATAATTTACTCTCTGTCTTAAAGTTCTGTTGTCATGTGGAGAGATAATTTCCTCTCTGTCTTAAAGTTCTGTTGTCATGTGGGACCGCAGACCTTGATGGCCGCCTAAGGTAGTACCCCCTGACAAGTCAGCCACTTTTCCCTGGATTTTCATGAATGAGACTTTACTTTCTATGATTTTAAGGTGATCTAACATTGACGACAAGTTCCTGGAGAATGTAGGAGAAAAGAGCGACAAAGGCAGCCCATGTTATTTCAGGAATCAGAAACAAAGAAGGGGAGGTAGTAACTAAGACGTCTGAGATCAATCAGTTGTTTCAGATGTTTTATACAAATCTTTATTCCACTGACGCCAAGATAGACGTAAGTAAATAGAAAGCCTTTTTTTTCTGGGCTCGAACTCCCTCAGTTATCGCTACATCAAGCTGAAGAACTGGATGCACGATTACTGAGGGGGAGGTCCGATCTGCAATTCAGTCTATGAGGGGGTAAATCCCCAGGAATAGACACATTTCCTATTGAGTATTATAGGGTTAACATAGACCTTCTGGCACCTATTCTAACAGAGTTTTATAGGGAGGCAAAATCATTAGGATGTCTACCTGAAACTTTTTATGAAGGTCTTAGATCAGTGATCTTAAAAAAAGATAAAGACCCGTTGGATCCTGGTAGCTTCAGGCCTGTGAGTCTGGGGAATTTCGACTGTAAGATCCTTACAAAAATTGTATCCATGAGATTAGAAAACCTTTTATCTTTGTTAATTCATCCTGACGAGGTGGGCTTTGTTAAAGGAAGGTCCTCATCTGATAATATGCGGAGACTACTTCATTTGATGTGGAAAAGTCAGGAGAGTGATGTGCCGGTTGCTGTCTTCTCACTTGATGCTGAGAAGGCATTCAATCAGGTAGAATGGGAGTGTTTATGGAATATTTTTGAAAAATTTGGATTTGGGAGCGGTTTCCTTACATGGGTTAAGGCAATATATGCAAAGCTGATGGCAGCTATAGTTACAAATGGTTTTATTTCCCCCTTTTTTAGACAGTTTAGGGGTACAAAACAAGGGGACCCTTTGTCCCCGTTATTGTTTATATTGTTTATGGAGCCATTAGCAATTGCAATAAGAAAAGAGGGAGCGATTACAGGGATGGAAGCAGGTGGGAGAGAACATCAACTTTTTCTTTACGCAGATGATATTCTTTGTTTGATTTCAGAGCCAACATCTTCTACCCAGGCTCTTCTTGACAAAGTTGATTTATTCTCTCAAATTTCGGGCTATAAAGTTAATTGGCATAAGTCAGAGGCTATGGCCATTTCTAGAGCTTGTTATTCTACCATAGTGAGTGCAGGGAATTTTAAATGGCTCTCATCTGCGATGAAGTATTTAGGGGTTAAACTGTGTGCTAATATAACCGATATAATGCACATTAATATGGCTCCTCTCCTTATTAAGACAAAGTACAGCCTGGAGAAATGGAAAGCACTCAATTTAACATTATGGGGAAAAATTGATACCATTAAAATGGTGATTGTGCCACTATTTAATTATTTGTCAATTATGCTTCCAGTTTCAATAAGTGAAGAGTATTTATTATTCTCAATATAATCAGATGGTAAAGGAATATCTATGGAATGGAAGTCAACAAAAACTGTATGTAACAAGAAGGGATAGGAGTCTTGCTTTGCCAAATGTGGAGCTGTATAACATTGCCTTTGAAGTGGCTAAATTAACAAAACATTGTGGTAAAGAGGACACTTATTTAGGATGGGTAGGTACAGAAAAATAAGTTACTGCCCCCTTTTGGCCTTTGGAAGCTTTGTCACAAAAAAGAGCACAAAAGAAGGAAGCTGAGTATAAAGAGAGTAATCCAATATTACAGCATTCTAAAAATATCTGGATCAAACTTCACAAGTGGTTAAAGATATCCCATTATAAACAATTATATTCATGAATTTAGTATAACCCACAAACAAGGGTGGGAAATCCAATCCAATTTTATTTATATAGCGCATTTAAAAACAGCATGTCAGCTGACCAAAGCACTGTAAAGAGTTAAACCTAACAAGCCATTTAAAATACACATACATACACATTAAACACAGATAAAAGCTGTCATAAAATAGAAACACCTAAAAACAATACAAATGTATAAAAACAGCCGATAAAAGAGAAGTCAATAAAAACAGAAGTCAGTAAAACAGAAGAGCCACAGCATAAAAGACTGATAATTGACCAAAAGCCAAATTAAAAAAAATGTGTCTTCAGGCTGGATTTAAACTGTGCCAGTGAAGAAGCCTGGCGTACCACCAGAGGGAGTGCGTTCCAAAGTCTTGGAGCTGCAAAGGCGAACGCACGCTCCCCACAAGCTTTATATTTCATTTTAGGGACTATGAGCAATAGATGATCAGCAGACCTTAGTGACCGGGGGCGGGGGGTTGAGCAGCTCTGACAGGTATAAGGGGGCTAAACCATTCAGGGCTTTGTAAGTAAAAGTAAGAACCTTGTGTTGAATCCGAAATTGCACCGGAATCCAGTGTAGATCCACCAGAATGGGAGTAATGTGGCAGCGTCTATTAGCATTAGAAAGAAATCTGGCTGCAGCATTCTGGACTTTCTGCAGACGATTTAGGACAGATACATTTACACCAATTAGAACCGAGATGGAAAAATCGAGTCTGGAAGTGATAAATGTATGAATCACTGATTCTAAGTGTGGCCTCTTAAGAATGGGCTTTAGTCGGGCAAGGCGACGATGCTGGAAGAAGCAGGATCGAACAGTGGCATTAACATGTGCATTCATTGATAAGTCAGCATCCAGTTTAACCCCAAGGCTGGTCACACATGAATTTTGGTTAGGAAAGGAAAGGAAGTCATCTGTTGGAATACGTGGAGAGAGAGGGGCATGAGAAAATTAGAGGATCTAATCGAGAACAGAACAGTGAAATCTTATCAGGATTTAAGGCTACAATTTAACTTGGATAATATAGGTAATTTATGGAGATATTTCCAAATAAGAAGTAGCTTGGACAGTTTATTTAAGGGGTTGCCTGAAGAGGACAATGTTGTTCAGCTCTATTTAAAATTAGCAGAAAAGTATCAGTCAGCATCTATGTTTTATAAGATGGCAGCCAAAGTTTATATGGAAATTATGATGGCTTAAGGCATGTTTGGCAGAGGGATTTAAGCATATGGTTGAATAGAGATTCATGGCAAAGTATAATGTCCAATATGGAATGGTTTACCAGGGAAGCACGAGGAAAGCTGACACATTATAAGATAATCCATAGATATTATTTTACACCAGTTCGTCTTTATGAAATGGGTTTAATGAAGAATAATGCTTGCTGGAAATGTAAAAGGCAGGAAGGTACTTTTATTCATTCTATGTGGTCATGCTATGTTGTTCAACCTTTTTGGAAAAAAATATTGAATACAATGCAAGAGTGGTTGGATATACCGCTCCCGGAAACTGCTGGACTTTGTTTATTAGGAGACATGTTGTGTGTACCGAATATATCTACAACGGCAGGGGCCCTGGCACTTACAGGTTTTATTTCAGCAGCTAAAGTCATACTGCGTAAATGGAAAAGTTTTGAGGCACCTGTTTACAGAGACTGTATAATAACGATGACGGAGATTGCATCTTATGAATTATTAATTGCTAAAATGAAGGGAAAAAAGACTCATATTTTGATACCTGGAATGAATTTTTGTTTTTTATTGGTAAAAAGATATAAAAGTTGTTGGACAGCGTGTTTTGAAATTATTATGAATTGTGGTTGTGTGTGGTTTTAAGCTAGCCTGTGCTGTGAGGGGGGTGGGTTATTTTGGTATTTTGTTTTTGTTTGTGTGTAAAAATTTGGAAAACTTAATAAAAAAAACTTAAATAACAAAAAGTTCTGTTGGTCTCCAACCCCTCTCGGTCTAATAATGGCACGAATTAATCTATCCCCAACCGTGCCGCCCTGTCAACTCTCTCTTTGATGGAATCCACCTTCTGTACAAGAGCCTGGATCTCAGCCAAAGATCCAAGCTTACGACTCATCTCGACAATTATATGAGTTTGTGCATTCACAGCGCGGTGCATTCCATCCCTGAGTTCCGGGATTGAGCCAATATTCCTCGAAAGCTCATTAATTTTCTGGTAAGCCAGGTAACCGCTCAGACCAAACAGCAAGAAACCTGACACCAACACCAGACGTCTTCATAATCCTCTACAGACAGTAGAGTGTTGCCTCTGATTTGAGGCAGATCAGGTTCTACTGTATCCAGGAGTCCATTATATGCCCAGCTGGCTCCGTCCCAGAGGGACATCCGGGAGCCCCTTCTCCCGTTCTCATCACTGAAAAAATGTTGTCAATCACGTCGAGAGACCAACTGACCAGGTCCATTTTAATAATTTAATAATTTCAATTTCCAGAAAAAAAATGCAGAAACTCCATTCACCCAGACAGACAAGGAGCCTTGAGATAAGATAGGGAGGAGTGGAAGAAAAAAGCGTCTGTACTCTCCAAGAGCCGGAAGAAGAATTGCTTAACAATGCACTAAGTAATGTTAAAAAAGGGACCTTTGTTGTAAAGTGGTACCAAAAACTGAAAGTAAATACATCCCAATTTGTAATCCACAAAACAATGATGAGCAAATCTGAGTTAAGAACATTTGATGCAGAAATAAGATGTATTTTGTAGATCTTCGTTGACTTTTGTGGATGCTACACTTTTTAATGAAGTGTCATTAAACTCTGAAAAAATGAAAATCTTACCAGGAGGCGGCATGGCGATGAAATAATTGTCAAAGCCCTGAGGTTCTCCATCACCTCCATAATTCATGGCAATAACTCTAACCCAGTATGCGGCCATTGCCTTCAGGCCAAGCACAGTGTAGGAAGCCGAACTAATTGAGATGGCATTACAGCGGCGCCATTCAAGACTCTCGATTGGTCTGATCTCCACATAGTATCCCTGGGCCTCGTCCACTACTCCTTTTACTTCCTTCGGTTTCGTCCAAGCCAGTGAAAATGTGGTGTAACTAGAGGATGTTAGTTTAAGGTCTGTCACTTTGCCTGGAGGGTCTGAAATGAGGATAACGGGAGGAACACAAAGCAACAAATAAAAGGAATAATTAGATTGTTTTTCCCTTTGAGCAACTGACTAACACAGAAGTTCATGACTGGCTTACTCTTTGGATCTCTTGCAATAACAGCGTCACATGGTATACTTGGATCCCCAGTGCCCGACAAGTTGATAGCAGACACTCTGAATCGATACACAGCACCTTCAAACACATCAGTCACTGCACACTTTGTTTCTGAGAAGACAAAAGGAAGAGGTTAATATCACTCACTGTCCTCACTATTCTCACTCTTGCACTGTCATCCTCTACCTGTGATTGGCCCTTTTTGGTTCACTAGGCTCCAGTAATTTGTGCCCATCTTGTTCTTTTCTAAGTTGTATCCCACTATTTTGGTTCCTCCAGTGTCACAAGGGGGACACCAGGAGAGGTTGATGCAGTTTTTAAAGGTACTGAGAACCTTAGGTGCTGCTGGTGTTCCAGGATAACCTGTAGCAAACAGAGTGAAATCATTTCTTTTTGAACTTCTTTATTTGGTTAGGTTTCTATATCTGATTTGATTAGTACATCTTTTATGTACCTTTTAGACTTTTGTTACATATTTGCAATTCTGACAACCTGATCTTTTTATCTTCATTTAAAGTCTCATTAGTCATCATCACTCATTGGTGAAATGACATCTCTGCATTTGGCCCATCCCCTTGGGGAGCTTAGCGCTGCAGCAGTGGTCATGCTCGGGAACTATTTGGTGGTTTAAGAAGAAGAAGAAGAAGATCTTTTATACAGCGCCTCTCAAGATACAAAAAATGAGGCTCTTCACAAAAAAAATTAAGTATAAAAAGATTTGAAAATGTTTAAAAATATGTTTAAAATGAGAAAAGAAAAATGCAAGGAAAGGGAAATTTTTTAAGTCTTTGGTGTGACCCGCCCAGGATTTGAACCCCGATCTCCTAGTCCCAGGGTGGACATGCTACCACCAGACCACCTTTTAAAATTAAAAAACAAATGCATTAAACTTATACTTATACTACAGTATTTATGTAGGGCATATTTTTTCGTAACATGCAACTAGGGGAAACTGATGCATCAGTTGACCAATATTTACGAGTTTTTTATACATCGGCATCGACCGAGATTTGTTCTTAGTAAAGGCAATTTAAAGTCATCCACATCCTCGAGCAGTCTGGTGCTGTTGCAGGATTTAATTTAAAAGTATTTGTACATTCACTAATAACATCTGCATAATAAATACATTACATTTACTTTATTTAGGTGTCTGACTTTAACACTTAAATATAAAGTTTATCTCTCACCAAATAGAATATTTACTGAGAAATCACAATGTAGCCATAGAATCACTACTTGGTATATATGCTGAGTGTGCGTGTGTGTGGGTCTGTGTGTGTCTTCTCCATCCCCAGTGAGTCGTGGAGATCTCTTCCTGTTAAAAGGGAGTTTTCGTCTCCACTGTCACTGCATGCTTGCTTACTATGAGGATTGCTATAAAGACGCTGACACTAGTCAGTGACTCGATGCAACCTGCTGGGTTCCTTATATAGGAAACTTTTTACTGATTGGCTTAATGAACTGACCTGTGTTGGAATGTGTACTGTGTGAAGGTCCTTGAGATGACTCTTGTCGTGATTTGGCGCTATAAACTTAAATTGAATTGAATATTAGCAATCGGCTGACCATGTCTTCTACATGTCGGCTATATTTAGCAATATTGAGTGTAGACTTAATTATTTTCTGAACTGATTAAATGCATAAAATTGTTCAGCATGATGCTCATAAAGCCAACAGAGTAGTTAGTTGTAAATCTACAAAACACAAATCTATTTTTATGAAGTTGTTTTGTTTCCACTAATGCTTGCATGTTCCTATCCAGGGGAAAGCTTGCTCTTTCAGCTAGTCTTGTTAATCAGGCTCCAGCTAAAGCGTACATAATACACCAGCTGCTATATCCTCTGTCAGCAGGTAATCACTGATGCCTTCTGTGTTCTTGGCTCTGATCCTGTAGCAGTATCTCCTTCCTGGGTCCACATCAGTATCTTTGTAGCTCGGGTTTCCGGAGATTTCTCCCAGCTTTGACCATTTATGTCGGCCCACTTGTTGCCGCTCTATGATATAGTTTGTGATCGGACAACCACCATTGTCTTTTGGCGGTTTCCATTTGAATTCAACAGATGTAACAGCACTTTCCATAATGTCCACCGGGCCTTGAGGTGGTGACGGTTTGTCTGTTAACAAAATCAAAAGAGATTGCATCTTTTAAACAGGAGAGATCATCTTTAATATGCTAAAATTCAAACAAAATGTCCTTTCTCACCTAGAACAATAAGCTTTGAAATGGCCTCTGTTGTTCCAAATTTGTTTTTTATTTTGATTTTAACATCTCCACTGTCTTTTCTTTGACACTTTGTGAGGCGCAGTTTGCTCTCAGTATCTGAGGTCTCAATCTTCACATTGATGGCGGGTAACAGCTCATCATCATTCTTGTACCACTGTATGTTTATTGGTGCTTTACCTGAGAATGGCAGCTTCCATTTGGCATTTTCACCTGCCTTTACAATGACTGCATTTGTGAATTTTCCTAAAGCATCTTGGTTGATTCTTGGAGGATCTGTGGTGTCATTAAAAAAGGGAAAGGTTAGATTAAATGCTTTACCATCTCAAATATTTATAAAAGTCATTCTTTTCATTCTGACCTTGAACATTAAGTGTTGCCTCTGATTTGCGGCCTTCAGCTTCAAAGCGGTACACAGCTGCATCATCCTCTTTACAGCACTCGATTATCAAAGTGTGACTGGCTCCATCTTTTATTATCTTCACCCCATCCCCTCCTTTTAGCTGGCCAGATCAAAAACAAGTGATTTGGAGGGGGAAAGTGTGGAAATGCTGAAAAATTGTCATTCATACCAGTGCTTGACAGTAGACTTACCAGCATTCCATTTTTGTACCAGCATCCCTCTGACGTTTCACTGCTCACTTTGCAGGACAGTTCTACTTGTTCTCCAACACAGGTGCTTAAATCTGAAAGCCCTTTAATAAACTGAACCCCTCGATCTGCATTTGAAAATGTAGGAGCTGTTATTTAGTCAATGGATGGTAATTGTTGGACACGAGATGAGACAAAGTAAAAAACATGCCACAAAAAGTGGAAAAACATTAATCAATATTTAGGAATTTTCCAATCACAGCCTTTTGCTTCCGATCCAAGTTATTTGAATTTGGGATTTTGCCAATGCCAAGTCCCAATCCGATGCATTAAAACAAGAAGAAAAAAGGAGACATCCAGGTTGTCCTTAAATTTTTTATTGTGTGTATTCCTTTCCTTCTGTATTTGTCATTTTCTTAGTTTATCAAAAACATCAGTGTGATAAATGCTGCTACAATTTCTCTTTTTGATTTTGAACATATCTTTCAGTGTCGGCTAGATCTGTATTTTTGTCCGAGTTGCTGCAGGGAACTGAGCAGGGTTTGTTTTTTTTAGTTGGCTTATCAAATTCGTAACACAGTTCTCCTTTTTTGTCTCGTCTTCTTCCGCCTATCCGGGTCCGGGTCATGGGGGCAGCATACCAACTAGGGAGTTCCAGACCGTCCTCTCCCCGGCCACCTCCACCAGCTCCTCCAGTGGGACAGAGGTGTTCCTGGGCCAGTTCAGAGCTGTACTTTCTCCAACGTGTCCTGGGTTGACCAGGGGGCCTCCTGCCGACAGGACATGCCTGAAACACCTCCCTGGGGAGGCGTCCAGGAGGCATGCAAACAAGATGCCCAAACCACCTCAACTGACTTCTCTCGATATGGAGGAGCAGCGGCTCTATTCTGAGTCTCTACCGAAGGTCCGAATTCCTCATCCCATCCCTAAGACTAAGCCCAGCCACCCTGCGGAGAAAACTAATTTTAGCCGCTTGTATCTGTGATCTTGTTCTTTCGATTATTACCCAAAGCTCATGACCACCAAATAGTTCCCGAGCGCGGCTGTGTCTGCAGCTCACCGCTCCCCCAGGGGATGGGTCAAATTCGGAGAATAAATTTCACCACACACCTGTGTGTGTGTGTGTGACGACTAAATGGGACTTTAATGACCATAGGTCAGGACTGGGCGGTAGGTCGACTGGTAAATCGAGAGCCTTGCTTTCTGGCTCAGCTCCCTCTTCACCATAACAGACCGGTTCAGTGTCCGCATCACTGCAGACGCTGCCCCAATCCGCCTGTCGATCTCCTGCTCCCTCCTTCCCTCACTTGTGAACAAGACCCCGAGCTACTTGAACTTCTCTACTTGAGGCACAACCTCTCTCCTTACCCGGAGTTGGCAAGCCGCCCTTTTCCGGTTGAGAACCATGATCTCTGACTTGGAGCTGCTGATCCTCATCCCAGCCTCTTCACACTTGGCTGCGAACCTCCCCAGCAAGAGCTGTAGGTCAGAGCCTGATGAAGCTAACCAGATCATCCGCATAAAGCAGAGATGAGATTCTGCTGCCACCAAACTCCACACCATCAACACCACGGCTGACCGGTGACAAAGGGCAGCCCTGGCGGAGTCCAACCCTCACCGGGAACAGTTCCGACTTACTGCCGGCTATGCGGACAAAACTCGCACTCCTCTGGTACAGGGACTGAATGGCCCTTAGCAAAAGACCATCCACCCCATACTCCTGGAGTGCCCCCCACAGGGTCCCTCTGGGGATATGGTCATAAGCCTTCTCCAAATCCACAAAACACATGTGGATTGGATGGGCAAACTCCGATGACCCCTCCATCACCCTAGCAAGGGTAAAGAGTTGGTCCACAGTTCCACGAACAGGATGAAAACCTCCTATATTTGTGATTCAACTACCCACAGTTTGCACACATTACAGGTGTCTTTCTTTGCTGTCCAGTTTAAAATACGCTCAAACTGCAGACATTTTCCCTCTCTTGAGGTGAAACGTTAGCTCTGCATTAGCTTGCTAGCTAATAGCTACATGTTATGTTGTCTGAATCCCCAGCTTCCTTAAACCTTGGGACGTTACGGTGTTGTCATCTATAAAACAATGAATATTGATTTAAAGGAAATTAAAACCAATTGTTGAAATGAAAGCAAATCCATTGTTATGTTTAAAAATATCTTGTCTCAGGATGTTTAAAAAGTAATTTTTGTTATTTTTATATGGTTAAATCAGATGGTTTTTTTCCACCCAATTCTGTGTCCTTCAAAAATCACGTGACCGGGCCAGATTTCTGACCATGTGATGGAATCGGAGCATCCATATCTGTAATCAGGTTCAACATTAGCCCTCAGTGCTGTAAAAAGTCTCACCTGTCACAGTTTCAGAATCCAAAAGACCAGCTTGTAATCTCTTCTTCTTATCGCCATCATCTGTAGTAGTTTGATTGTTTCCATCCCCCAGGGCAAACTCGCCATCTCCTTCACAATTCCCAGCACCTTTGCCTCCGTCAATCCCCTCACTGCTCCCATCTCCTCCGTTTCTTTTATCTTCTTTTCTCTGCAAAGCTTTAGCTGCAGCGCTCCTTTGTTTTGCTTGGTCTGCTTCATCTTCCTGCTCTTTTGATGCAGCTTTGGATTGATTATAATGATCACTGGGTCTGATGTCCTTTTGATCAGCTGTAATAAGATGCACAAAAGCAGGAAACTAGTCTCAAGCATAACTTTAGATTAATTGATAATCAGGTGTGAAAGATTCCCTACCGTCCACTGAGAGGGAGGCGCTGCTGGACGTAACACCAGCTATGGCGTAATATGCTCCATTATCTGTAATTTGACAATCTTTCACTCTCAGGGTGTGAGTTAGTTTGTCCTCTGAAACAGTGATCTCATATTTCTCACTATGATCAAGTGATGAATCGAGTTTTGCCCAGGTAATTCTGTTGAGGGGTGTTGACAAAACACACTGAAAAATGGCATCCCTGTTTTTTGTGACTTTAACATCCTTGATCGTTGCTGCAAACTCCACATCAGGTACTAGGAGGGAGGGAAAACACGGATGTGTTTGTTTTTTTCTTTACACGATGACCATCCAGGTTTGATACGCTAGCCATATTTTACCTAGAAATTCGGTGGTGAGGACAGTTGTCTCTTCCACATCAACCTGATATAGTCCAGCATCGTCTGCCTGAGCATCTTTAATGCTGAAAAGATAATTTATTCCCTTTTTCTGAAGACTGCACTTTGAGTTTTTATTGTCATCATACGGAATCATTGTTCCATCCTTGTAAGACAAAAACAATCAGATGAATTTGTGTTTTCACCTGTTTTGTATGTTTTTATATGTTTTATCTCACCTTGTATAAGTTAACAGCGTTGTTGGGGTCCCTTAGTTTCATGTCAAAGCTGAATTCAGCTCTCCCAGTTGGTTTCATCTCAATCTGTTTTACATTATCCAGACCCTCTACAACCTGCAACAGAAAAAGAAAATCACATCACATTTTTACTCTTTAATCATAAATCCATCACAATCTTTTCTGCTGGTATAAAAATTCAGAACGTACTTTTGCTTGTTCATCTTCCCTCTCTTGTTTCATTTGTTTCAGTTTCTTCAATATCCAGCGGAAGTCTGTGACACCAAACTCCAAGCAGATTCTTTCGTAATCTTTCTTTCGTGCGCTTAAAAGCAGCTCCAAGAGCTTGGGATCAACTTCTCCTTCCTTCGGTGGTGGGGGTGGCTTTTTCTTGGTCACAACAGCACTGAAGGAAGGAAAAAGGTCATTTTTATTTTTCCTTTTTGGGGGGTTTACACGCTTTCAGATGGACTATGGCATTGATGTGAACTTACGTTTTCTTCAGCATTGATCTGAAGTCTTGTGCTCCTTGTCCATTCGCTAAGATAAAACTTCAAAATGTCAACAACTAATCTCCACATTCTGTTTCTGTAACTATTAAAACTTGAAGAGGGATTTGTTGAACTTGAGTAACCAAACACACATACTCTCATTGCTGTGATTTAATTCCCTACCTTCTTGTGGTTTCTTTTTAGATCCTAATGGGAGGAAACACACACCCAACACAAACAAAGGAGCACAGATTACTATTCTACCACTAGTAATCTGTTTGAATAGCTAATAAAACACAGTACTACGTCTTACCTGCACTAACATTCAGAGCAGCTGTGCAGACGGCTTCTCCATACTCATTCGTAGCGACGCACTTGAAGGTGTCTGCTTCGTCTGATTTTACATTCAGTATCTTAAAAAAGCAATTGTTATGAGATAAAAATGGCCGCTTTGATGAGCATCAATTTATTTTATTTTATCAGTACTTTATTTTATTTTTCATTTTTGTTTGGAATGATGGTAAAAAAAAACAGGCCTGTATTTGATATAGCACCTTCTAGGGCTATTAGCCCCCAAGGCCCTTTACCAACAATCATTCATCCATGCACACACAAATTAGCACCCTGGTGGTAAGGAGTTAACTGGCTCCTCTTGATGTGAACGAGCAGCAGAACTATTTCAAGCCCCTCTCAGATGACCGAGCTTCATACCCTATCTCAAAGGGGGAGCATAGCCAACCTCCGAGAAAACGTATTTCGGCCGCTTGTATCCACAATCTCATTTTTTGGGTCACTACCCAAAGCTCGTGACCATTGATGAGGGTAGTAATGTAGACCGATCGGTCATTCGAGAGCTCACTTGATGTTTTTTTTCTTAATGTTTATGGCAAAAAAAAAATAATTATTAAACACCAGTCTTGCTTTTTGTCTTACCTCAAGAATGTTCTCTCGGGTTCTCTCATCAAATCTAGTTTTGTACTTTTCTGGATCATCCACTTCCCCTTTAATGCGTGTCCATGTAACAATTGGTGCTGGCTCCCCACTCACCATAGCTTTAAAAAAGGCTTTTTTCCCTGGAAAAATAAACAGGAAAAAATAAGTACCACACCACACTAAATCACTCAGTTGTTGCATTTTATTACATTGCCATTTAATTGTATGTCTTTCTACCTTCCTGAACAGTTGTTGCCATCAGTTTCCGGGTAAAATCAGGTGCTGATTTTCCTGCAGGAAGTATCTCCACAAACTGAGTGATTAGAACTCCAGGAACTCTTGACCTCTTTTTGATCAACACTGTCGTGTTAAGAGACAGGAAAACGCAGGAGAAAAAAGTAATGTGTGTGTGTGTGTGTGTGCATGAGGTGGCCTAAACACAAGCGACAAGAAACTTGAAACAACAATTATAGATGCTTAGTGTGAGCCAGAAAGGTTTTGATAGATTCAAATGTTTAAACATTCTTGTCCAGATGTGGCTGCAGATGCTAAATGTGTCCATTTGATTCCGGGGCATCTACATTATTTATAAAGGGACTCATTTCTGAGTCAGTCCAAGATTTCAAATTTCCTCATGTCCTTAACTGACTTTTCCATTCCAAATTTCAGTTTTCCCTACTTAGCATAAATGTTAATGGTTGCCACCATTTGTGGAATAATCCTTTAAAGCAGCAGTCAGCCTAAACAAACCCAGTCTTTGTTTAGGTGCTTTATCTGTCTGTTAGTTGCAGTTTCACATAAAAAAGTCACCAGGGGTCACTCTTTCCTTTCTTTTCCTCCACCTTTACACTTGTTACTCATTTTATTTCTTGTTTTAATGAAGCCACTTTCCAATTAAGCAACACACACATTTGTGTATTCTTTTTCCAGCTTCAGTGGTTCAGATTGAGAGAAGTTATTAAAGAAATGTAGGGTAAAAGAGGACAATGCATTCTCAGCGCTTTGTTTTTCTTTTGATGTTTTAATACTAGATGCAACAGTAAGTTCACCCAACAGCTGCCGTAGTCCCAAACGCCAACCTTCCATCTGTTTGCCTTTTCTCTGTGCAGCATCATATGCTGTATCGTCTCAGAGCTGCTTCTGTTTCCCGAGGCTTGTACATTAAGTTTGACTTTACTGCTTCCTTAAGCCCTAGGCCTATTTTGAAGCCTATTGGATCTAATGTCACAGGGTCCCCCACCTGGGGGACCCTAGGGCTTCTACAGTACAGCTGTGTGCAGAGGCAGAATCACACCTGCAAAAGTTGCCTGTTTGCAGATGAGTCATATTTTCCCCCCAACCAGTACTTGGTGCACAAAATAAAATCTCTTGCAAACCCATGTAAGACAATTGGATTTTTAAAAAACCAACACAGATTTCAGTTCAGATTTAAATTAAAACAAAATCTGTATTTTCTCAAACACGCATTTAGGTCAATTTAACATTTTTATTCTTTTTTGTACTTTAGCCCTCTGTGGGACACTTTTAGATGAGCCGTTCTGCATAATTGCAGATTTCCAGCCCTTGTTATTTAAGCTTCAAGTCATGGGCTTTGGTTATTTTCTTATATCATTGAAATGCAGGTGCATGGGATTCCTGTAAACTTGTTCCTTAAGCATCAATTTCCACATTATCCAAGTCTGTTCACATGGTTCTCTGTTGTTATTTTTCCTTCTGCATACCATTGGCTCTTGGAAGAACTGTTGGATTTGGGCAGAAGCAAACTTGAGAACATCTTCAATCATTTTTTTGTGGAGTGTAGAAGCAGATTTCCCTGCCATAAACCAATGTAAGCTGCCCCCTTTTGCCTTTTGAATGAGTGCGAATGGCTTTCAGTATGGCAAGCCAAATGAGCATTTATTCTGATATCAGGATATCAGCCAGAATTGTCATGAACATGTAAGCCATTTCTGTCCACTAGTTAACTAGTTAGACATGTTTGTGTCAACTAGTTAAATATCGAGGGTGAAAATGTGCCCACTAGTTAACTAGTGACAGCAGAAATGCGCACTAGTTAACTAGTGAACACATTTAGGCTTCTGTAGTTAACTAGTTGACACAAAAACTGCTCACTAGTTAACTAGTAAAAGCAGAAATGCATAGCAGTCAGCTACTTGAAGGTATTTGTCTCACTAGTTAACTAGTGAGGGTCAAAATGTGCACACTAGTTAACTTGTGGTAGACATAAATGCGCACTAGTTAACTAGTGAACATATTTTGGCTTCACTAGTTAACTAGTTGACACATAAATGGCTCACTAGTTAACTAGTAAAGACCAAAATGCATACCAGTCAGCTAGTTGAAGGTTTTTGTGTCTCACTAGTTAACTAGTGATGGCCAAAATGTGCACACTAGTTAACTTGTGGTAGACATAAATGTGCACTAGTTAACTAGTGAACACATTTTGGCTTCACTAGTTAACTAGTTGTCACATAAATGGCTCACTAGTTAACTAGTAAAGGCCAAAGTGCATACCAGTCAGCTAGTTGTAGGTTTTTTGTGTCTCACTAGTTAACTATTGATGGCCAAAATGTGCCCACTAGTTAACTAGTGAAGGCTTAACTCCTAACTAGTTAACTAGTTGGAGTAGGTCAGTGCCACTAGTTAACTAGTGAACCATTAATGGCTCACTAGCTAGCTAGTTGATGGCAGCAGGCTCAATAGTTACCTAGTTGATGCATCCATTGTCCAAACTAGTTAACTAGTGAGGACATAAATGTATACTAGTAAACTAGTTCAAGTCTACATTCACACTAGCTAGCTAGTTGCGCAGAATTCTAATCAGGAGGCGGAGAATTTCTCAAATTAAGACTCTCTATTGGCTCCCTGTGTCAAAATAAAATATGACAACCAATCACAGTGCGGAATTTCGTAAAATCCCACCCCAAACATTTGCATGCGGCACACAAGTTAACATGCTGGCCAGAGGAACCTCAGCTAGTGAACTAGTAGTGGCTTCAGTGTGACACTTACATGTAAACTTGTGAAGGCAGAACTGCTCACTAGTTAACTAGAGAGGGTACAAATGTCCACTAGTTAACTAGTGAGGTGCAAAATAAGTGTCACTAGTTCACTAGTGGGCCCCAAATCGCCCACAAGTTAACTAGTAAGGTGCGGATATGCTCACTAGTTAACTAGTGAGGTGCAGATTTGCTCACTAGTTAACTAGTGCGCCCTAAAGCGCCCACTAGTTAACTAGTAAGGTGCAAAAAAGCATCACTAGTTAACTTGTAAAGTGCAGATATGCTCACTAGTTAACTAGTGGGCCCCAAAATGTCAACAAGTTAACTAGTAGGGTGCGGATTTGCTCACTAGTTAACTAGTGAGGCACAGATATGCTCACTAGTTAACTAGTGATGTGCGGATTTGCTCACTAGTTAACTAGTGAGGTGCAGATTTGCTCACTAGTTAACTAGTGTGCCCTAAATCACCCACTAGTTAACTAGTAAGGTGCAAAAAAGCATCACTAGTTAACTTGTAAAGTGCAGATATGCTCACTAGTTAACTAGTGGGCCCCAAAACGCCAACTAGTTAACTAGTAGGGTGCGGATTTGCTCACTAGTTAACTAGTGAGGCACAGATATGCTCACTAGTTAACTAGTGAAGTGCGGATTTGCTTACTAGCTAACTAGTGAGGCGCGGATTTGCTCACTAGTTAACTAGTGAAGTGCGGATTTGCTCACTAGTTAACTAGTGAGGTGCGGATTTGCTCACTAGTTAACTAGTGAGGTGCGGATTTGCTCACTAGTTAACTAGTGAGGTGCGGATTTGCTCACTAGTTAACTAGTGAGGTGCAGATATGCTCACTAGTTAACTAGTGAGGTGCAGATATGCTCACTAGTTAACTAGTGCGCACAAGACGCACACTAGTTGCTGTTTTTGGAGCAATCTAGTTTACTTGTTATGTAAAAATGTGTTCTTACTAGTTAACTAGTGACAAATTTACCTTCACTAGTTAACTAGTTGACATATTTGGGCCTTTCTAGTTCACTTGTAATGGGACAGGAAGCACTCACTAGTTAACTAGTGAGCATATCTGCATTATAATTTTTTCTCACTAGCTTATAGAGGGCAAACTGAGCCTTACATGTTAAGTAGTGAACACAAAACATTGTCACTAGTTAACTAGCTGCAGAAAAATGCCCTTAAAACTAGTAAATTTGTGGAATTTGAATAAATACACACTTGGCTGGCATTCTGTGTAACATGTTAACTAGTTCGACCGCTGTACTGCTCACTAGTTAGCTAGTGAGCAAATCCGGCCTTTACATGCAAATGAAGAAATGCAGAACAGCAATGTGATTGGTCCATGTAGGACTGAGAAACAGAGAAAGTATGGCGGACTCTGTTCAGGCTGTTCTAAGAGAAAATTTGATAAACTAAAATCGTTTGAGCACATAAATATGTTTTGACGATATTTGTAGCGAGAAAGTTGTGGTGTATTGCTGTAATCTTTGTTCAGTTAACGTGTGCAGTCTTTAGTTTTCAGTTATTAGTCTGAAAAAGCCTGGAGGCGGAAGGCAGCGGCAGACAGCATGTCTGTTTCTGTTGACAGGAAAGTGCAGAAACTCCGCAGAAATCTCCGTCAGATATATTGTTTCACATTTGTACGGAAGCGACAAGTTTATAATAATAAAAAAGGCTCTATTTTACATACGTTGCTGTAAAGCCTGCCAGCACTCATAGTGTTTTAAAGGTATGAATTTGCTAGACGTACCACCTCGTGTTGGTGGTGTAGTGACTAACGCGTTCGCCTGCAATGGTGAAGGTCGCGGGTTCGATACTGGATCATACAGCTTAGTTTTGTACATTATTTCACTTCTTTTCTTTTGCATAATTTTTGTATTTATGTCAACAAGAAACAAAATACATAACGGATTAGTGGGCAGAGTCACACACACACACACACACACACACACACACACACACACACACACACACACACACACACACACACACACACAAAACATGTAAACAAGTATTTTATGAGTATGAATCTGATTATTGCCGACAGTCGATATTTAAGCATGTGTGTCCCCCTTCCTCAATCCATCCTCGCAAAATAAAATCATCGGCACAGCACAGCAGGCTTTCTCTTGATCCAGAACTAGCACTTCGAAATTGATCATGTCCGCGGCCATCTGCTGCACAATCAGCTGCTCGCATCGCGGGAAACATTGAAAACAGCTTCATGAACTGAGACACAACAGGGTTAACATCGACAAAAAAATCCACAAATAAATCTAAATAATTAATGCCATTTCCGTCTTTTTCGTTGAAATATACAAATAGCAGATCATAAATCTAGAGCAGAAAAAGCT